GAGGTGTGGCAGAGCTCAGAGGTGATTGATTGAGGGGATTGATTCATTCTTTGAGCTCCCAGGACCCTGCCTGAATCCCAGAGCTGTCATCCCTCTTCTGGGAGCTGCTCTGAGAACACTTTGGAGCACATTTCCTTACCTGAATTTTCTATTTTTGGTGAATTTTCTATTCCCCACTTGCTGGAAGGCTTTTCAGTGCAGCCCCTGTGCTCTGTAGCACCGAACTCATCTTTTCCAACATTAACAATTCCATGTGAAATCATTAAACAACCAAACTTTTATTTTTTCCTACCAGAAAGCATTTTTTTTTTCCCCAGAGTTTTTTTCCTGTTGTTCCATAACTGGGGCCACACAGGAGGCTGCAATTTCTAATTACAAATATTTACCAGTCCTGTAACGTGTCACTGAGAAATTAGACCTGGTTCTAGCTAATGAAAAGCTCAGCCAAGGGATGCACCAGTGTTAAACTGTGGAGATCCATTATTTTCCTCAAGATTTGTGCTGTACAGGACTTAAACAAGGAACATTTGAAGAGGGAACCAAAGAGCTGAGGTTGATGCCATATTTAGTAGTGCATTATAATTTCTCTTGGAAGAGGTAGACCCGTAATCTGGGAATTTTGGCTGTCATCCTGCTGCTATTTATGAGCAATTTTAATGCAGTAATTACATGTAGGGAAAATTGTTCACTAGGTTGATGAGATAAATGGAAATTTAATCTTTTTCTCTTGTTGTCCAATATTTTTATGACATCCTTCTGGAAGCAAGGGGATATAATAAAAGAATCTGGAACTCCACTGCTCCTTGGAAATACTGATAGTTTGAAAGATTTGCTCAGTGTAAGCTAAAGGCAGCTCATTAAACAAACAAATGAGATGTCCTTAGAGCAATCAGTATTTACTATTAACTGAACAGCACAGTAAATAATGAATTGCAGGTAAGGAACTACAGATTAGTATTTGCAGTGAATTCAAATTACTTGACTTAAGCCTGGGGCAGAGAAAAGCAAATAGAAAGATGGAAAGAGAAGGAGGATGGGTAAAGAAGGGAGAGGAAGGGTTGCAAATGTAACATTTGTTGTAGCAAATGTGTTCATTTGTTGTGCAGAAGAAAGGTTTTCTTGGGCAATCTGGTGCCCCCATCCCTGGTGCAAGTGGTGCTGCACTGAGTCCACGTGGGAACAAAGGAGGATGTGGAATTCCTGGGAAAAAGGAATTGGGGGAGGTTTTATAAATTTTTTTCCAGTACCTGAAGTGGGGTTACAAGAAGGCTGGAGAGGGACTTTGGACAAGGACATGGAGGGACAGGAATGGCTGCCCACTGCCAGAGGACAGGGATGGATGGGATATTGGGAAGGAATCCTTCCCTGGGAGGGTGAGCAGGCCCTGGCACAGGTGCCCAGAGCAGCTGGGGCTGCCCCTGGATCCCTGGAAGTGTCCAAGGCTGGACAGGGCTTGCAGACACCTGGGATAGTGGAAGGTGGTGCCCCTGCCCATGGCAGAGGGTGGGAGAAGATGATTTTTAAGGTCCCTTCCAGCCCAAACCATCCTGTAATTCTGTGAAAAGCAGGACTCTGGGCCTGACCCAGCTTGGAGAGCAGGGCTAATGATTTCCCCAAGGTCAGGATTTTACAAATGGGTCCCTGGCACTCTCCTACCCCAAGGACAGAGCTGTGCTTTGGCACCAGTGAGACCACAACCTGCCCACGGCTGCCAAGTGCCTGTACAGCTCCCCGTCATTGCTCCAAATTACTTAGGCAGCGAAATTGTTCATTTGCTAGGAACTGGCACACGTTGAGAAGTTTGGGTTTGGAGTTTAATCATCATTGGAGAGAGAGACATTGTGCTGCCTGAAGTTTGGGTGTGTGGCTGTGTCTGGAGCCAGGAGGGATGGATGGGCTGTCTGGGGGATAGTGCTCATCAAGGACAGGGCTCGGGGTGTTTTGGGTGCTGGAGGTGAGGGAAGGTCGGGGATTTAATCAGGATCTCAGCAGTTTCACCTGAGGCCTGGTGGGACAGCCAAAGCTTGGCAGCCCTGCCTAAATGTCACCTTAAAAAGGTGAAGAGCTTGGCCCAGGTGTCTGCAGGGAGGATGTGCCTCACCTGGCTGCCTGCTGAGCTCCAGCAGCACCCAGAACAAGGCACAGAGGAGGGACCAGCGAGTGGGGCACGTCAGGGGAGATGTGTGTGAGGTGTTGGCATTCCATAATCGCTGTCACAGCCAGGATGTTGCCTCTGCTACTCCACCAGGGATAATAGCCATAGGAGCAGGAGGCTTATCTTGCTGGGAGGTTGGTACGAGGTAAATATTTCTGCAAGGAATCTCTTGCTTGATTCACATCACCCCAGGGCTGCACCTTGTGGAAACCCCTCAGAATAATCCAGCCGAGGTCCAGCATGGCCGCAGGGAGGCTTCCAAGTGGAATTATCTGCAGGATGTGCACAAGTCCATCACTGCTGGTCCCCCTGTGCTGGCTGCTTCCAAATGCTGGTGCTGTCAGCATTAGTATTCAAGCCAGGGAACAGGAGTGAGGTGCTAGACAGGCCGACTAATTACAGCAGCCTGCAGAGGCAAGTCGGGCTGTAGCACATGATGAAGGATATCCTGCTTGCTTGGAACGTTGCTGCTTTGCTCTGGCACTTCATTAAAAAAAAATAAGGAAAAAAATAAAAAATAAGGTATGAGCTAATTGGTTTGGTTAAGGAACCGAGCTGTGCTCTTATCTTTTTCTTGAATTTAATCTGAATTTATACAACGCTTTGTGACACTCATCTAAAACAAAACTTGCTGTGACCTTAGCAAGCTGCACACCTCCTGTAATCCCAGCTCCCCTGCCTCTGGCTGCCATCCTGACCTGCCTGCTCCTGTCCCCAGAGCTGTCAGCAGATGGGGGAGAGGAGGCTCTCGCTGCCCCCAGCCCACCATCTGCAGGCAGCAAGGCTGGTAAGGTTTTTATGAGCCTAAAGTGCAGCTCTGCATCCAGAGGGATTTCTGTCAGAGCATCTGTTTTACCACCGGTGGCACAGATCTGGGGCTGGGCGTGTGCCAGGAGCAGGTGAGGAGGGGGACAGCCCCATCCTGCAGTGACAGCAGCCATCAGGTGGCTGCTGGCTGGGGCTGCTGCGTGTCCTGTGTGTCCCCCTGGCTGTCACACAGCCCAGGTTTTGGCAGGCCGAGCTTTGGAAAGCTCTGCTGCTCACAAGTCAGAGCCAGGAGAACTCAAACTGAGGGAATATCGACAAACAGAACTACTGGTGTTGCTTGATTCTGGCTGATTTACACCCAGGATAGCCTGGGGGTACCAGCTGAGCCTGTCCCCTGTCCTTGTCCCCTCCAGTGCCCTTCTGCAGAGCGGGGCACTAAGCAGATTAGTCAGCTTCTTCCATCAGCAAATACTCGGGGCCTAAGATACTTAAAAGACATCTGGTTTTTAGCCTCATTTCCAAACAAACGAGGCTTATGTGATTATCGTGTCTGTCGCTTGCCCCTCGTTGGCCAATTTCAATCCTCAGCCAGGGATTTTGGTCTCACAGATGTGAACTCCCAGGAAGTTTTGGTGGGCTGGTGACCGTGTGAACAGGGCTCATCCTGGAGGGAGGGCTGCAGCACAAGCTGTGCTCATCTCGGAGCCCATGTGAGAGGGAATGTGCTGGGGGAAAGGGAAACCTCTGTTTGTAGGGAAAAGAGGGGGAAACCCCCAGGCACTGGAGGCTGTGGGCGGTGTGGCTGAGCTTGGCCTCTGCTCCAGCTGTGCTGGGCAAGCCCAGCCATCCCCAGTGCCACCTCCCGCTGTCCCCCACGCCAACTGTGATCCCGGGATTGCTTCGCTGATCCCTGGATTAACGGGGTGGGATGTGCAAAGATCCGAGAGCTGTGTGTGAGGCAGGCTCAGCCGGATTGCCCTGGTGCAGGCCATGGCCAGGCCCTGCCAGGCTGGGCTGCCTGCTCAGCCCGTGGCTCCTGCGCGTGTTTTATCAAAGTTATCCCGACAACTGAGGTCTGCATTCTCCTGAGACTGATGTCCCTTAGCTCTGTTAGGGTGCACAGGTAAACACAGCTTGTGCTGGTTAATAATTCACTCAGGTACTGTGGGTGAAGCTGGCGGATGGAATCCTCCCTGAACCCACATTTGCAGAATCACAGAACCCCAGAGTGGTTTGGGTTGGAAGGGGCATTTAAAATCATCTTCTCCCACCCCTTGCCATGGCAGGGACACCTTCCACTGTCCCAGGCTGCTCCAAGCCCTGTCCAGCCTGGCCTTGGGCACTGCCAGGGCAGCCCCAGCTGCTCTGGGCACCTGTGCCACGGCCTGCCCACCCTGCCAGGGAAGGATTTCTTCCTGATTTTTGATCTAAATCAGAATTCTTTCCTTGACTTCTCAGTGAATTTCACTTAAGTGCTCTTTAGAGCTGGATCTGTCTCCTTTTCACAGCTACACAACATGTTTCCCTTGTAATTCAGAACCTAAGGATGTCTAATGGAACGTGTAAAACCCACGTAGAGTAGTTCTGGGACTAGTGGGGGAAAAGCAAAGGTTTCATGTTCTGGTTCCTAGTAATGAACTAAATGAGATTGTGTCCTTCTTTAAGCATAAATGAAAGATAAAAGACAAATGAGATTTATGAACAAGGTCATTAGTGTACCAAATTTCTCTCATTAGATCTGTTACATTACTTTCCAACTTACACAACTCCCATTAGTAAAATTTATGAACTGGAATGATTACAAATACACCATATTCCAAACCATTCCTACTTTTAATTGCCAAACAGCAAAAAAATAATTATACTTCTGTGCTACAATCGAGCTGTACTTTTGTGCATGTGTTTTTATGTTAGGATTTAAATAGAGGCTGTTCCTGAAGCCAGGGGATGGGGCGAGAGGAAAATGGACCATTTAGTGCTATTTAGCTGCAAACCTGAAGCATTGCTTTAATTTTATAACCGTGTCAGAGCCAGGCTGATATTGCAGGCTAATATTGCTGTTTGTTCTCTCCACCAGACTCCCACTTTCACATCCCTGTGCCTGATTTGAAGTGACAGTGAGCGGAAGCATAAGGTATCTCTCATTCTGTTTGGACTCCTTGTTTACAGAAGAGTGATGGAGATGCTATTAAGCACAAAAGGCATCACCATATGCCTGTTTTTCTTTGTATTGAGTTTGGCAGCAGCTATTGAAATACCATTATCAGGTGAGTTGTAGCTATTTGCTGTGCACTTTGCTGTTTTGTTTGGTATTCCTTTGCAGCTATCCCTGAAGGAAAAATATTAAATCCTCCTTTCCAGTTGTGTTCCATTTGGAATTTAATCTTGCCACGATGTGGCCTTTGGGAAATTCAGGTCTGATCAAAAGCTAAGCTGTTCTGTTTGGGCCTGCTTAAATGGAGCAGTAAAGTTGTCTAATAATGTCTCTCTGGTGTTTGCCATCCAACACAATGCTTAGCTCCAAGGGTTTGGGTTTGTCCTTCACTTCAGTTCCTCATTTTGGCTCTGAATCCCCCTGAAGCTTGTTTGATGTGTGTATATCCCTCCTTACTTGTCGTGCAAGCTGCTGTTCCAACCTGGGAAAGGAGCAGGTGGATGTCTCAGGGCAAATGTTGGTCCCCAGAGAAGGATTTCACACTCCGAGTCCTGCCCCAGGGAGCAGCTCCTGCATCCCCCACCAGCTGGGATGAATTCAAACTGCTTGTTTGACACGGATCATGAGCTTCCAGGACATGTGTAAAATACAGGATGAGGCTCACAGGGAAAATCCCAGGAAAGCCAGAGGACCCCTCTGCCTGGAGTACAGCCCAGACCTCCCAAGCTTTGCATTTTTCAGACATAAATGGACCAGGAGAGTTGAAAACTGCATTTTACTTTGTTGTTTCGGTTGCAAAAAAACCCCAAACAACCCAACAAAGCAAAACTCGACAGTATTAAGGGTTATGAATTATGGTGGGGAAAAATAAAGAAGTAAACCTAAGGAATAATAAATTTAGGGGGTTTTTTCAGGGTCTCAGAGTAGGACATGGGCCAGTTTCAGGGCATCCTGTGGATCTGCCATGAGCTCTTAGCACTCTGGAGCCTGCCAATAGCCCTGGCTCCAAGAGGAAGCCAACTGAGCAGGTTTATAGGATATTTTTGTAAAACTATCCAAATTTACATTGGGAAGTAGAGGTTTCTAGGTTTTTTCCAGGAAGGAACTGCAGTGGCTCCTTGTGTTTCAGTAAAACCAAAGTGGAGCTATGACTGTAAAGCATAAGACAAACTCTCTGAGCGTCCACTGCTTTTATGAACCTACCCAAGGGAACCACCTAACCCTTAATTACGTGTAAAGAAGCATTTTCTATTATAATAATAAGTTATTTCTGATCAGCAGAGCTGGTGGGCTTGTTCAGCTTTGAGGCCGTGTGATGTGACAAGACACCGCATCTCACTCCAGCTTTGAGCTCCCTGGATTTAAAGAGCACCCAAAGAGCATTTTAATTCTCTTCCTGGCTGTTTATAACAATGGGGTGATCCTATTATCCCAGCTCCACTGCAGGGAACATTCTCCTTCCTCTGTTACACAGGCTTTTGCAACACTTTAATTCCCTCAGAAAAGAAATGAGAAGTTAGTGCAGCCTCTGTGCGTGACCATGCAGCTGCAGCCTGGGGCAGGTACTAAACCAGCCTTGCAGTCCATGGGTTTTGTGGTAATTTGATCCAGGATGGAGGCAGCAGTTTGCTACTTCATGTGTGCGCATCTGTGTCTGGATTGAATCCAGTTACTGACCTCACCTATGAATAAATTTGCCAGGCCACATCTCCGTGCTCTGGTGTGGTCCCAGCTCCTCTGTGGCCTGGGTGGGTTTGGAGGGGAAGGAGGGTGGGCAGTGTCCCTCTGCCAGGCCTTTCTTTGGCCACCAAGGCAGTGCCAGTGATCAGAGTGTGTTGTCTGTGCCAGGGAGGTGATGATCATCTTTTTCCCAAGGCACGCCTCACTTTCTGCAGCAATAATGCGATGCTGCCATTGTCCCTCTCCGCTCAAGGGGAGCCCAGTTTGGCTGGGACAGTGTTTTAACCCAATTCCTCTTTGTGTTCAGTTTCCCAGCTTCCAACAATCACGGAGCAATCCCACACCCAGGTTGCCTACCCCTTTGATGAGGACTTCACCATCAAATGTGAAGCCAGAGGAAACCCCCAGCCCACGTGAGTACTGCTTGGAGAAGCAAACAGAAGCTGAGTTTGCTTTTAAGCTTTGCCAATCACTGTTGTGTCTGTCAGGAGCTGCTGCACAAAAACCTGCTCGTCATCCTCACTGGGGTTAAGGTTTGGATTTCCTTTCAGGCCGTTCAGCTTTTGTTGCTCCATCACTTCCTGTGAATAGATATCAGCATGGTTTTCCTTGCTGGGGGATGTTTCATTTCTCTGGCACGTGCCAAATTCACCCCATGGTTTAAAAAAAATTCTTGTCTGGGTTGTGCTGCAAAAGATGGGTAATCAAAGGGGCCCAGCTGTTCCTCTGCCTCTTCCACAGCAACCCTAAAAATCCCAAACACATTAAACAGTGTATTCAAACACCACATTTGCATTTTATCAGATACCTTGTCTGTACCTAACATCAGCAGGGCCGTGGTGATGGTCCATATAGACACATAAGGAGTTACTCAGATAAATATCCAAAGATAAGCTCTGTGCATTTTACACCAGTGTGGAAAAGAGAAAGATTTTTAATGAAAATGTGATTAACAAGGGTGCAATAATAACACAGTAAAAACTCCTCCTGTGGCTTTCACCACTGAATGGTGTTTGGGCTAAATTAATAGCTGGTTTGAATGTAATTTTTTCTCTTTAATCCTCCACTTCTCCTTTCTTTGCAGTACAATTTAAATTTTAAAAGACATTCTTTTATTTAGATCAAGACAATGTGGTAATTTTTAATTGAGCTCTGAACGGGGATTTGTAGCATGATAACAAATTCCCTTTGTTCCACTGTTTGTCAGTGCATCAATGAAAAGTTTTCTGGTGTGTTTAAATGATGAGGTAGTGCCTGTTAGGTATGGGGTTCCCATATTCCCCCCATCCTGGAGCAAGGCAATTTGGCCAACAACAGTTTTGTTTACATTATTTATTCTCTTAAAACAGAAAAGAAAGGCACATCTGCCACTAAATTGATGTTATGTTGTAATTTCCAGCTGCCTGATTTTAACTCAGTTTAGGTAAATTCCAATGCATCGGGGAATTACAGCTGCAGGAGCTGCGACAATTCCTTCAGCATTCATCAAAATCACTCCCCAGCAGCATCAAAACTACAAATGGTTTCTATGGCAAGGAGAGACTCAATGGAATCATCTCAGTTTCTTCTGATTCAGTCACGGTGGAGGGTGGGAAAAGCTCTGGTGGATCTTTGCCGTTCCAAAGCAGCAGCTCCACCACAGCCACAGCCTTTGCAGAGCTCCAGGTCCTGGGTGGCTTTCCCAGATGCTCTGTCTGTCACTGTCCTTGCTCCAAGCCCTGAGCTCTTGTCTCATGTCACAGCCAGCTGTGCCCAGGCAGAGTGTGTGGAAGGAGAGATGTGCCCGAGAGGCAGCACGAGGCAGAGGAGCACATTCTGCCTCTCACCTCTCCTCTCACATCGAGTTTTTCCTTTTCTTCTGGTAAAACCCTCTTGGCCTGACATTTACCCCTGGTCAATACCAAAATGCTGCCCACTGTAAACATTTCTTTTATTTTTCAGCTTTAACTGGACTAAGGATGGAAAACCATTTGATTTATCATCTGACCCAAGGATAGTTACATCTAACAACTCTGGAACTTTTGTGATCCAAAACCGGGGAATCATCAACAATTTCCAGGGGAAATATCGCTGCTTTGCATCCAACATGCTGGGAACTGCCATGTCAGAAGAAATTGAGCTGATTGTTCCAAGTAAGTGCTTTACTTTTGGTTTGAATTTGTAATTATTACTTTTATTATTAAGATGAGAATTGTCTTTCCTCAAGGTAAATGGGAAAGAACCACTCACTAATGTGATGCGTGGCAAAACATAAGTTGTTTGTATTCAGTGAACATTCAAAGGAAAAAGTCGTATTTTCTTCCTTGGAACGGTTTAATTTAATTCCTGGTTTTGAGGACAGAAACCAAATCTGGATGCAGGATTTCAGACCACTGAACTATCAACTCCCACAGGTTATTACTGCAAAATAGAAATGGATGCAAATGTTTGAAAGCTCCAGGGGAAGTGATTTGATCAACTGTGAGTTCATTAATCTGATGTCAGCAGCATTCAGGGTTTGGGATAAATACTGATGGGGAGAAGAATAAGCCCTGGAACTGAATGGAAAACAAGGTTAAAAATAAAGCAGGGAAAATTACTGATCCTGGAAATTTGTGCTTCCACTATTAGCATGGAAGAAGGACAGAGGGGGAAATGAGGGATTAAGGACCAGGTTTGTAGAAGTGGGATGAAATTCATGGATAGAATCAAAGGATCATTAAGGTCGGCAAAAAGCTCTTAAAATCACTGGGTCCAGCCCAGCCCAGCCACGTTCAACATTCAACCATGTCCCAAAGCTGAAACAGCTGGTTTGTACCAATCCATTTAATCACCTGTAGGCTGGAATATGAGCACACATTTTGGTTCCAAATTCAGGATTGAAACATATGAAATGAGAGGAGGAAAATCAGAAGCAGAATCTTCCCAGTGGGAGCAGAAAGGACAAGAAGCTTCCCCAGCTCCGTGATGGAGCAGGGTGAGAACCTGAAGCAGGTTTTATGATTCAGTTCAGTGGCAGAGATGGAGAAAAGCAGCAGTGCAGTGTGTTTTTTTCAGATTAGATCCTGCATTTCCGAGCTCCTGTAGTATTTTGTTATCAGATATCTGACAGCTCCATGCTCAGGTGGAATCCATGTGGCAGGGGATGCATCCACAGCCTTCTCAGCCCCACAGTGGCAGGAGGTGGCTGCTTTTGTACAAAAAACACTTCTGGCAGATCAGTGCAGATGAAATGGGCTATGAGAAACATGAATAAACACTTTTGTCCTGTGTTCAGCACGGGAAATAATCCTGAGAAGCATTCAAGGCATAGCCAGAGCTGGGAGAGTCGTGGTGCTGTGGGCACGTTGAAAACAAAGACATTGGGCTGGGAGGGGCCTGCTGAGGTTGCCAAAATGCATTTTATGAGTACTCCTCATGAAAGACACGCTTTATTTTCCTTCCATCCAGTTTTATGGATTTCTTTTTTCCTTGGGAAATCTATTCCATGTTGCAATGTGCTGCGCAGCAATCCCTGATGCCAGAGCTTGGTGTTTGGTGAGGAATTAACAAGATTCCAGGTGTTGTTCTGTGCTTCAGTCTCCACCACCTCACAGCTGTTTTTTGGGAAGAGCTTTCCAGAGCAGAGGAGAATTGCAGAAAGCTCTAGGACAGTAAGTTGAGGTTTATTGAGGTGTTGGCTCCACAGGCAGCTGATGGCAGCTGGAGTTTCAGGCAGGGACAGGAGAGTGATGCAGTTCAACTTCAGACAGAACATAGTTCTTCACTTTGGAGTCTGGACAGAGCAGTGGGGGTCATACAACTTCTCTTAAGCAAAATATCTCAAACTCATTACATTTGAGAGGAGTCAAAGGGCTCAGTGTCATGTTTGTTCCTCCAGCAGCAGAATATTCTGATACTCCATTGCTACTGAACTAAAAAAGATGCTTAAGATGGAAAACAAGGAGTTTATGTCTCTGTTTGAGATTATTGAATCTGGATTCAGAGAAGAGATTTTTGCCTTTAATGAAAAACAGTCTAGAGGAGCTTAAGTAGATATTAAATATATTGGGAGTGGATGGCAATGAATCTATGGAGAGGTGACAAACACGGTTGTTACCAAAAGCAAGAGGAATTTAAGTGCTAATATATGCAAATCCCTAAACCCAGCAAAAAAAACCCCAAAACATTGTACAGATAATGTATTAGAGGGATTTACCCAACTCACACATCTTTTAAAGCACATTTGCTGTTATTAGAACTCTTCTGCCATCAGTTCTTTCATTTACGGGTGCAATGCAGAGGCTGCAAATTAAATCAGGATTGAGAGAGGAGTAGAAGGCACCTTTGATTTTCTAAAGTGCTGGATGCTCTGCAAATGTGCCCCAGTGAAGGAGCTGCTGGTGCACAGATCCACTGTAAATCAGGCCCTGCCACGCAGGGGCTGGGGATAAATTACCTCTATTCACCCCCAGGTTTTGAAGCAGAGCCTGGTACATGTGAGATCACTCCCTGCATTCATGATGATGATGCAGAGGTGGCAGAGCTGTGCCAGCTGCATTCAAGTCAGATGTAAAGCTCCTTGGCAAAGCCACCGTGCCAGAGAAGGGAAGAAAACCCCAACGAGGCAGAGCAGGGCAGTTTCTTTCATAAATTACATTTCCAGTGCAGAAGCAGAATACTGGGTCTGTAAGGCTGCTGCTGAAAAGGAGAACAAAAGACTGTTTACTCACAGTAGTCATTCCAGGGAAGCAATAGAAATGTCAGCAGAAATGATCATTAAATCTCACCTACATAATGAAAATACCCCACCTCCCCTATGTAGGATGACATTAAGGAGAGGGGGAAGAATGGGCTCTGAGGATCTCGATGTGTTTGCAGCACTAACAAAAGCCAGATTGTTACAAGATACATTCAGCATGAAAATGAATTTAAATGGTGAGAACACAGACTTCAGCTCCCCTCCTCCAGCATTTTGGGAATCTGCTGCTTGAATTAGTGAGCAGGCCCAGTGCCAGAGGAAAGAGAAGAAGTATAGTTTAAACTTCTTTAATTAACTGTGCTGGAAAAGACTCTTCATGGCAGACTGAGTTAAGATTTATGCTTGGTATTTCTAAAGCTGTTGCTCCAAAAGACCAGAGACCTGAGGATGGAAATATTGTCTGAATGCAAAATTATCCCTTGGCAGGCTGTGCTCTGCCAGTGCACAATTAGTGCCAAAATTCCCCAAGAAAGCCAGACCTAAGTTAATATTCAAACACTCAGGTGTGAATATCCTGAAATCAGTAAAAGACACTGAGCTGATATGAAGTAGGAGGTCTCAGTTTTGGGAAGGCTTTGGTGTAGCTTCTATGGAAGAGAAAACAAAAGTGAGAAATTCACTGAGACTTTGCAGGTGATGGGAGTGCAATGTAACCCTCTTCCCTCCTAAGGCAGTGACCTTCACCCATGGCAGCTTTTCTGGCCACCTGAATTACTGGACTCATTCTGATTCTTGCCTGTGGCCATCATTTTGAAAAGGATAACAGAGATTTACACAGAAAAAAGCTGTCCCTGATTCCATTCCACATCTTCGGGAGCGAGTGGATTCTCTTCCTGACAGCCAGGCTTTGTTAACTTTTTCAATTTAAGGCAGCAATTAAAAAAATCCATAAACAAGCAGGGTCATATCTCATAAACAGTTCAAAGGCTGCAATGGAAATTACAGATATAACTACTGCTCCTGCTCCATGGATCAGAATATCAATTGAGGCACAGAGATGAGCCCTGGAAACTTCCCAAGCTCCACTCAGTGCAGCTCAACATCAGGGACTGCAAGCCATGGTTAAGATTCCTTAAAATGTTGGGCTGTTTGCTGATACAGATCTGTATGAAAAAATCATAATTAAATACTGATTTAAGTGTCTGAGGAGCTGGAAAATTTGAGGTTATAGAAATTTCTTGATTATTTCTGCTTTGCCTTGCTTTTACATCCTTTAAGGGTTTATTTGCAAGGAAAAATATGAGGCTGTCCATGATGGACCCGGCTAAGCTCTCCTTTATCCCAGAAAATCTTCAGTAGAATCCACAGGATTCTACTGAATAAAACCAGGGGGTTAAAGTGATGCTTTTTTACAATAATTTCACAATGTATTTGCTAATTGCTGATTTACCATCCTGAATTCACTCCCATTTTACACCTGATATTGGTAGAAACAAGACACAGGGATCTCAAGGAGAAGTTACCTGGAGAAATGCTTTTGTTCAATTTCCCAGCACTTGACCCCAAAACATAGAAAATACCTGATGGAATGGGCTCCATTCTCACATAAACTGGAATAAATTGCCATAATTGATACAGTTTTAGCATGAAGTCACTGTAATCAGCAGTAGAGCAAAAATTGAGCTGTAGGACAAAAACTGAGCTGTAGGACAAGGTGTCCTGAACAGATCCCTGGGTAAGTCTGGAACAATGTTGGGGACTGGAGCTCCCAGCTCTGCTTGCTGCATTTCTGAATCTCTATTTCTGCTAAACTCAAATTAAGCCTTTCTATTGCACTGTGTAGGTCTCCCTCCTGTTTGATTTGGGTTGAGAAACTGCATTTTCTGAAGGGATAAGGAGGAGACACTCAGGCTCTTTTCTGGATTTTCTCCCAGCCCCCTGAATTTGCCAGTGGTGCTTCAGCCCGGTCTCAAGCACAGCTCAGTCATTAAACTTTGAGTCACCCCAGGGATTAAGCAGATCCTGGCTCCTTGCACAAATGACTCTGGCTGCTGATAATCTTCCATTTCCATGGTTCTCACACTGTCAGAGCACTTCAGGTCTGGTTTTTGAGTGCAGACTTGTCAGGGAAAAAAACCCTTGGTCAGCAAAGCCTTTCCCAGGAGTATTTGAAGAGGTGTCACGGTGGGATTTTAGGAGATTCTCCATAGCTGGAGTTGGGAGTGCAGCATGGGGAGTTCCCCACGGCTGTTCCACTCACAGCCCATGGTTTGTGTGTGGTGAGAGCCCTCCTGGCCCCTCAGCCTTTCTCAGAGTCACTAAATCCCACTGCTCTCCTGATGCCTGGAACAGAGGCTGGACAGAGCTCAGGATAAAGCAGGGATTTACTGAAAGGCATTAAAGGACACACCTTGGGTAGCACAAGAGCCTGGCCAGGGCTGCCCCCAGGATGGACCCAAAAATGGTCACAAAATGCATGACTGGTCACGAGGTCTCACATTTTTATCAGCTTTGGTCCATCTGTGTATCAGGGTTAATTGTCCAATTACAGCTTCAGGTTATGAAGTGCCATCCTTCTTGTTTTCTCTCTTCAGCCCACCCTTGTTTCTGCTTTTGTTCTTGTCCTGGGTACCAAGCTAAGAAAGGAATTGTTTTGTCTGCCTGTTTCTGTGAAGAGAGCACACTGACACTGAACATGAAACTCAAAACTACACAGCTGGGGAAAAATATGAAAGCTAAAACTTAAGGCATCGCTCCCCTGTGCCGTGGATATGTGGGAAGCAGCACCCAGAGCTGTGCTGGATTCTCTGTCCCCTCTCATCACATCCCTGTGGGGGGATTCCATGGAATATTGATGTAGCAGGTTCAGTGACAGCACTGCAGAGGCTGGATTTTTCACTCCATGTGCTGCACTGAGGACTCTGTACAATGTTAAACGCTTCCATGGCACAGTTTATTTTGTGTGGTGCTGTGGAGTTTAACTCAGCTGTGCTCGTTTCTGATTGCTCACAAATCAGTGGTGATTGATTCTGGAATATCCTCTAATTAGAACATAAGAGCCCTGCAAAAAGATCCAAAATATTGCCTGCATAGATGTCCTGAAGATTGATGTGCAAAAGGCAAAGTCTAATGTGACAGAAGGTTTTCATTTTTAATAAATCTGAATTCAGAAGCAGGTATTTTTCTACTCTTTGAGACCAGTGGGACCCCAGCAAAAAAATTATGCTTGTCAGAAGTTTTGGCTCAGGAATTTATCAGAAGTATTTATCTCTTGCAGAGCTTCAAGAATTAAACCATCCAAATTTATCCATTGTGAGGACGAAAATCAAAGTTTTTCAATGCTTTTCATGGTGAGCTAAGCAAAAAAAACAGCATGGAAGGACCCAAACACCCTGATCACCTCTGGTGCAAGTACTTGTTGGAGGTGGAGGACATTTGGGGTCAAATTTCTGCTTCCCCCAGTGAAGTCCAGCTGCCAACATCTGGGCCCCACGGTGGAGATGAATGTCTGTGCTGCCAGCTAATGACACCAGGACTGTGACTTGTCACTGTCTCCTGGTGGGACTCAGTAAATTTCTGTATAATTCTGTAATTTCTGGCCACACAAATTCACTGAGGAGCCCAGTGGTTATGGCACCCAGCTGGGAGATCACAAACCCAGCTGTAGTTCTGCTAAGTGAGGCAAAAAATGGGTTTTAACAAGGGGTTCACAGTGTCCTAAATAAGTGATCCCAAATTAATCCATTTGCTGATCTAATTGGTTTGGTCAGAAATCCCTTATCCTTCACCTGATCCAGCTTATTTAAAGTTGTGTTGTGAGTGACGTGCTTAGGGGACTAAATAAGCTTTAGATCAAGAAATTGTCTTTTTCCTGCTGGAAAATATTCCACCTCTGCAATCAGCAGATGAATTTCCCAGGGCTTGAAGAGTGCAGGTTACTGAAGGTACTGGATATGAATATGCAGCTCTTTTTTTTCCACCTGAAATTTCACCTACAGGGTAGGTGATGCTCATTAGCTGCATTTTGCCTCTCCTAAGAATTCCTAACCTATTAATACCCCTCCTGGAGATAAAATCTCTGCAGAGTCTGCATTCTGGCAATCAGCACTGGAGCAATTGCTTCTTTTCATGTTTACTAATCCTGAGATGTGGGAAGTGTCCTCAGAGTCCTGTCCCTGCATTCCTCCCCCTCTCCTTTCCTTTGCCTCCTGCACTGTGATGTTGCAGATTCTCTGCTGATGTCTCAAGCTGTGGAGCTGCTCTCAGAGCTCCCTGTCGTGACCTGGGCACCAGGGAGGTGGTGTTTGCTGTGCTGCTTTGACTCTGCACAGCCAGGACGTTCTCCATCCTTTGCTGTTTAATTGCTGCTCACTTTGCTGGTTGACGCTGGTCTGAAGTGAAACTTTGGCCAGTTTGAACTTGCCTGGAATGAAAGCAGGAGGCAACGTCAGCCCTGAAACTGCCTGAGCTCAGTTCCTTCAAGGAGTGGTTCCATTTTGCAGGCTGGTTTCTCTGTGATCGTCTCCAGGCTGAGTCTGGGGTGGGATCCAGCCCAGCTCTGCTCCCCGTTTTCCCACATGAGCTCCAGTGGCATTTTGGGCATCCAAATTTGCCCATGTGTGCCAAGCACGGATCAGGCTTTGAACAAAATGCTGGCAGCAGGTGCTGTGGGTGATGAAACCTTGATCCATTAACAGTTTAACCTGTATTTAAGCCCAGCCAGAGCAGCCCTGTGGGCTTTGTGCCAAACCTGTCCCTGCACCCCGAGCCTGCAGGAATCCGTGGCTGAGGAGGCAACAGAGGCTTCACCCCAGCCTTCCTCTGATCCTGGAGATGGAGAAGAGCTGGGACAACTCCGGGCACGAGCTTGATGTCTGTCCTCACCCACAGTGGATCCTTAGGAACCGTGGTTTATCCAAGGCTTCCCAGAACATTCCACACTCCCAGGCTGGTTTCTGATCTCCTGGGAGCAGCTGGGGCCCCATCAGTGCACAGCCCTCTGTGCCAGCCTTGTCCTTAGGGACACTGTGGCCTTGAGTGGTCCCTGCCAGACAGCACAAAGGAGCTAAAGAAAGTGTTTGGAAAAAATTGTGTTCAAGTAAAGCCAAAGCAAAGCACAGGACATCACAAACAAGTGTTGAACATCCCCATTCAGTGCCTGTCTTTGCATAGGATGCTCCAAGAACTTTGTGAATGAAGGGATTCCTATTCTGAGTGTCCCAGAGCACAGGGATTTCCCACTCTGAGTAAAAATCATTATTAATCTGTGCCTCTATGTAAATTAAAATTGGTATTAAAGGCAGAGAATGCAAAGGATGATGTAAAGGTAAATATTTTATCAAAACTGTATCAAGGGGAAAGCAAAAGGTGACATTTCAAAAGCCACCAATAGAAAAGGAACTTCTTTGCTTTTTTGTGCAGGTGTGCCAAAATTCCCAAAAGAAAAAATCGAGCCTCTGGATGTGGAGCACGGAGATTCTGTGATCCTGCACTGCAACCCCCCAAAAGGCATCCCCCCTTTGCATATCTACTGGATGAATATTGGTGAGTAAATGGCTTTTGCACAATTCACACAAGGGGGCTCAAAGTATTTGTCTTTCAGAGCAGTTTCATTGCAGATTCATCGAGGATGGGAATTGTAATTGTTAAAGTGCTTGGGAGAAATATCTGGATACTGAAGAACAGAATTAAAAAATGGAGGATGGAGATCTGGTTTTACATGGCCCAAAGTTAAATTGTTGAATGCATTGACACAGCATCTCATTAAATATGAGATAAAAAATAATTTATGTATTGGTGAGTCTGCCAGTGATGAGGACTCCTGCATTTTGAGGAGAGAGGATAGCTCATGTCAATGTGTTATTTCTCTCATCATTGTTTTCCTCTTTCCATAAATTGATGATTGATTTATGATTGTAAGGGAAAAATAATCCACCATTTTTATATAATTAGCTCCTTGTGGGTTTCCGTCCCGTTGTTCTGCAGCGCTTGTGTTCTGCAGGAATTTCTGCCTTTTGGGAAGCAAAATAACTCTGTTTTTTAATTATTAATTCCTTATCAGTTATATAAGTATCCATTCTTATATAAAAAATATTTTTATCACAACATATTGGTATATAATTGGTCCATCCAATCCATTTGTTCTGCTGGATTTTCTGCCTCTCTTACTTCAGAGTTTCATGGTCTGTACCTGGAAGGAAGCACACGAGGGGAGCATTTGCTGAAACAGCCCTGTGTTTTTCCCACTTCTCCTTTTTTTCCTTTTCCTTGCCAGATCTGCAGCACATCCCACAGGATGAGAGGGTCTCCATGAGCCTGAAGGGAGATCTCTACTTTGCCAACGTGGAGGAAAGTGACAGCAGGAGTGACTATTGCTGCTTTGCAGCCTTCCCGAGGCTCAGGACCATCGTGCAGAAGATGCCGATGACACTGAAGGTTTCCCGCTGTAAGTTGGGCTGAGCTGTTTGCTGTTGGTTTTGGAGCTCCCCGGGCAGCAGTGCATGCAGAGCTGTGCATGCAGAGCTGTGCATGCAGAGCTGTGCATGCAGAGCTGTGCCCTGGCTCTCTCAAAGGGCACCTTGCTGAGTTTATTTCCTGTGATGTTAACCTCGTTCTCTGGGCTGTGTTCCACTGAGAAGGGAATTCCTGCACTCCTTGCTGTAGCCTCTGCTCTAGGTCACCATCCTGAGGTGTCACTTTCTCCTGTCCCATCTGGGTCTCCAGAACCTGATGCCTTGGGATGGTGACCTGAAACAGAGGCTGGACAGGATTGAGAGAATAAAATGGGTTTATTATTATTAAAGGCCTTTGATAGGCACACCTTGGGCACTCAGAGGCCTCCCAGGGCCTGCACCCAGGATGGTCACGAGTTTTTCAGATTCAGATAAGGTTGGTCCATTTACATGTCAGGGGTTAATCCTCCAATTCCAGCTGCAGGTAATGAAGTCATTTACCCCAAGTTTGCTGCCCCAACTCCCTTTTGTTTCCATCTCTGGGGCCTGAGGCAGTGAGGTGTCCTTGATTGCCAGGCCTGGAGAGGAATTGCTGTGTCTGCCCAAAGTGGGGAAGCAGCAGCTGGCACTGGGTGTGGAGTTTGGAGTTCTGCACTAAAGAACTGCAGGGTTACAAATATGTGAAAATTATAAAAGCTGAAATCCCAAGGCGTCACAATCAGACCCCAGAACTGCCCTGTCCTTCCCCCTGCACAGTGAAAGCCAAGGGTTCATTAGGGAAATCTGCTGTTCCTCAGTCCAGCAGGTTCCCCAAGGATGGCACATCCCTGGGTTTTGGGGATTTTGTGGCCACCCCTTTGCTGGGCAAGGCCTGTTTTGGTCCAGCTGCAGCAGAGAGGTTGTTAGGATGATATTTTCCAGGTTTTTCCAGACAGGCTGGAGCAGCCTGGAGCATCAGAAATACAAGAATTGTTTCCAGTTCCTTGATGAAATGATGTGTAGGAAATAAAAGATTCCAGTTGTTCATTAAAACCTTGATCTTTTGGGCCTACACAAAAAACCAGGGAGAATTTTGTCTCCATGAATGAAGCCCTCATGTTTAATACGTGATTTTGAGAGTTTTCTTTTTGGGATAAAAAGATAAAGGATTAATAGTGGCTTTGTGTGTTTAATGCTTGCTTAGATTGTATCTTGGGATAATAATTGTGAGAAAAAACATCCAAATTAAATGTTGCTCTCCATGGCTTTTCAAATGGGTTCAGTCCCCCACACATGCACACAGAGATTAGAGAAAAACAAGATGGGTTTTGGCTGCTGGTAGCCCTGGAAGTGGCCCAAAAACCCACTTCAGTGTGTCCACCTTGTCATCAAAGCCACAGGACATGGGCCAGGAAAAGATGAGAGGCATGAATTGAAAGGGTTCTGTAAATTCAGCTTGACACTGCCCACTCCACTCTGTGCCAAGTGCCTGGTGAGGGACTGCATTAAAAATAAATAGAACAAAAATAAGCAAAAGGAAACAAGAGAATGGATACATTTTATGCATTTCTCTTCGTGGATACTTAGTGATTTTTATTACTGTACACAGCAAGGATGAAATGCAGATTATATCATATCACCCGTGAAGTATTTTTCAGCATAACACAAATCTTTAAAGCATTTTCATTGTATTTTCCAAACTCTGTTGCTCATCTGTTGCTTTCTTTTATATTTTTCATTCTTTTTTTCTTTTGGGGCAGAAATGGGGGTGGGTGGGGAGGGGCATGGTTTTGTTTTGTTTGATTTATGGTTTCTTTTGATTCTGTCTCAACCCTGCATGTTTGTTTGGTTGTCATTTTTATTTATTTCAGTAAAGCATGCTAATGACTCAGGCTCACCTAACGCTGCTGTTACTAAGGGTGAGTTGAATGCATCTGTTTTTAGCCTTTAAACTGAGACTCCTCCAGCTGAGGTGAAATGGGAGCTGCTCAAAAACACATCACAAAAGCCTCTTGATTGTGATGGGATGGATTTAACAGGTCCAGGGAGCACAATTGGCTCATCTTGTCGTTTTTGAGAGTAATCTGCAGGGTTTTTATTAAAAAAGGCAGGTTTTTTTTCTTACTTGAGAAAGGGGCTTTGTAAGGAGGTGGAAGTGAGGATGTTGATGTTCTGGGTTTCTCATGTTATCAATTCAGGACAGGAGCCAGAGCTGGATGCTCCAAATCTTTTCCTGGCAGTTAAGAGGACTCTGAGATGAGACAGCTGGTTTGACAGCATGAATTCATGTCCCAGGGGTCACCCTGGAGCTGCATTGCTCCAGGATGAGCTCAGGGTGGGGATTTATGGAGTTTGGGTGCCCTGTGGTGGCTGTCCCCATCACCTCGATGTGGGTGGAGGTGGCTCTGTCTCTGTGGTGCCCTGTCTGTGTCACCAGCACAGGGGACACTGCAGCAAAGCACTTCTCACCCTGTGGATTCCCATCTGCCACTGCTTTCCCTGCCCCTCTCTGGAGCAGATCCTGAGAATCCCCTGCTCTCCTTGCAGGCAGCACGGTGGCTATTCCTGCAATCCTCCACCTGGTTCCTTTTGTTTTGAATAGATGAAATTTAGAGTCTGTAGCTCATGACTCTTCATTTCTTTGGTGAAATGGCTTTTAAAAGACTTTTTGTTTTTGTTTTTTTTAATGCCAAATTTAACCTCCTCTTTTTGCCAGACAAGCATGGAGGTTTCTGAAAAGGGGTTTGTCCTGGAGTGTTTTGGGATGGATAACTCACAGCACTCATCACTCCTCTGACTTTGCCTGTGGAGCTGAGCCCTGGGATCAGGACAGACAGGGCTTTGTGCCACTCCATGAGCAGTTTTTCCCTCAAAGGGATGTCTGAACTCGTGCTGGGAAGGGGCTCTGGCTGCCTTTGGCAGCAGGAGGCGGAGGGCAGATGGGAAATGTGTGAGTGTGTCCAGAGGCACCAACGTGCTCTGCTGCAGCTCAGTGACACAGATCTGCAGAGAGACAAGGGGAAATTAAAATTAAAAATGAGAAAATGATTCAGGGAGATCTATGTGGTATTTTACCAAATCATCCATAACTAGCTATTTTTTAAGAACTAGCACCATTTGGGGACTGATTCATTAGTGTGCTAATTGTTATGATAGTGATAACTGGACAGCCACTGAATCCTGCATCTTTCATCCTAAAACCCTTGCCTGGCAGGCTGGAACAAATGGGCTGTTGGAATCAAACACAGGTCAATCTTGTTTTATTATTTTTACAGTCTTCCTTACAAATTTTATCTCCATTACTGTAGATTTAATAATTGGAGCAGGAGGGACAGTTCTGTGGGATGCTCAAGTCAGGAAAAGCTGGGGTTTCATCTGAGGTTTAAAAGACGGTGGAGCCAGTGCAGACGATACTAAGGATATATTATAAGGATATAAATTATTATAAAGATATTTATAAGGATATAAAACTGTAGGAAAAGAGGTTTCCCAGCACTGCTGCCTGTTGATATCACTGCACCTCCCTTCTGACTGTTATCAGGGGACATAAGGGCTCCTGGATTAGTCTCAGAGTATATAAATAGAAAAGAAAAGGCACCAATTGTTGTCAGGAACCTTCTGGCAGGTCCAGATGTTTGTGGCATTATTGAAGAATATCCGAGACTTCCCACCTAACTTCTGTTTTATTTTATCTTTCAGCAAATTTTATCAAGGAAAGGAAACCCAAACTGCTGATCCCTCCTGAATCTGCTGGCAGTAGCTCATCAGTCACTGTCATCAAGGGAGGTGTCCTGCTCCTGGAGTGTATTGCTGAAGGGCTGTGAGTAATGAAAATGCTGCACAAACTTAATCACCTTTGGAGGTAGAAATGAGCAAAGAAAAAGGGATATTGCAAATTTTGCAGCAGTTTTAAATGGAGCTCCTGTGCAGACATTTTGTCCCTGTAAAGGAGCACAGAGTGCATGCAAGAGTGGTGTACTTGTTATTGCTGTAGCTTGTAAACAAGTAACTAAAATCCCAGTGTGGTAAGTATGGAATTATTTTTTACTCTTCTATTAAAAAAAATTGAAGTTTTTTCAGTAGTGCTATTTTTGAGATGTTGAGAAAGTAAATAATATCAACATCAGATTCAGTGCTTTTGTTCACAAGCTGTTACTTTTTTTCCTGGTTTTGCCAATTCAGTTTTGCTTCAATGCCCAAAATTTAAGATTTTCCAGGTGTAAGATCTCATTCTTTTTTTAAAAAACAAATTTATTGAGTGATGTAGCACAAGACATCCTTTAAGGAATGGTTGGGCCATTGAGGGAAAAATCATAATCTCAGTTACAGCAGGAGGTGCAGGCTCAGGTGTGAATGTGAATCTGGCTGTTTTCTGTGCCCATTCCCCAGCATCCAGAATTTCCATAAAGGATCTTCATTCCACAGTGTCCTCACAAATGACAGGATATCGAGGAACAAATCCATGGCTATGTAGGAATTCAGTATCAGCTTTATTTGATCCTGCTAGATCCATCAGCAAAGGGCAAACCTCAAACCTTGGACATTTCCAGGCACCCAGGGGCCACAGCTTCTCTGGGCACCCTGTGCCAGGGACTCCCCACCCTCACAAGGAAGAGTTTTTTTCCTAAAAAACCTAAATCACCTCTAAACCTTCTCTGTTCAAAGCCATTCCCCCTTGTCCTGTCACTTCTAAATGATCTCTCTCCACCTTGCTGACTGCCTTTGGGTAGTGAAAGGATTAATATAGGGAAGGGTTAAAACAGCTGCTTTATGATGGGAGATCAGGGCAATTTTGTCCTTGTAAACAACACAGGACAAAATGAGGGTAAATGAAGGAAAGGGGCTGGGAAATAAATGTTAGGTGCCACTCTCACAGGGAGCTGTGATTCCTTCTCAGGCCCACTGCTGCTGCTCCAGCTCACTCAGCCTTTGCTCTTCCAGCTTCCCAGTGTGTCCCATGTGGCTGTCAGTGCAAAAGGAGAACCAGAGAATCTGTGCACCCCCCTGAACCCCCAGTGAAAGCAGAGTCCCCTCTGGTTTGGCTGGAACAGAGCAAATCACCGTCCCCTGGTGCTGGATGTGGAGCTGCAGACTCTGCCTCGCACCGAGATTATTCCTGTTAAAGGCTCTGCAATTATGTTCCCTCCATAAAATTCCAAAGTCAGGATATTTATCTGCCTGCACATGTTTAGGGCATTTTGTTTTTCCATATGGGCTTGAAAGGGCATTGCTGGTGGAAGCTGGCAGGGAGTTGAGTTGGCATTCCCGAAGGGAGGTGAATTACTTGTCTCTGTTGGATTCACTCCAGGTATCTGCAGTGAGTTTTGCTTCCCTGTTGCAATGCTTCCTTGTCTAATTCACTCCCCATCAAGCAAATCTGCCAGCCCACAAACCTCCCTAAAGCCACAACTCTGATTTTTGAGGGTTTCCAAGGGGTTTTAATAGGGAAATCTCCTTGGGAATACTCAAATGTGAATTTTGATGTGCAAGCATGAATATCAGATACAAGAAGAGAAAGCCAGAAAAGTCTTTTAGTCCCTTTGGAAAAAGATAAAAAGATAGAAATATTTTTGTTTCACTCAAAATTTTCCAGGACTCTTTAGAAATTTAATTTTTTGAAGAAAAAGGTTTGGTTTTTTTTAAGCTGTCATTATTGAAAGAACACAAAGTTCTTTGTCTTATAACCAAGCACATCTTTTCATAAAAATCCTTCAAAAATGCAACTTTTAGAACAAAATGGGTTTTTTCTTTGCTAAAATTCCCATTTTCAGCAGAAAAATGATCAGCTTTGCCTACATCTCTGCCAATCCATCCTGCCAAGTATCCACAGACCATGGAAGCAGATTTCAAGGAACTCGGATCAGGGGCACCCAACTGCAAAATAGGGAATTAAGGACATTTCCAATCTGTCATTTTTTAAAGATTGATGCCCTGAGCAGTGGCAGCGTCAGGAGGGCATGGCCTCGGAGCTGGCTTTGGGACAAGAGTGGGATGAGGAATAATGGGATATTTGCAGGGCTCAGAGCTGGTGGAACACCAGAATTTGTGGCTACCTGGGGCTTTGTGCCTCCTGCCTGGGCACGGAGCCGCGGGGCCAGACGGGCCCGGGAGGAAGCAGCTCTGGCACCGTGGCCGTGCGTCCTGTGCGGTGTCGGGGTCACCGACCACGTCTGTCCCCAGTTCTGTGCCACTTCTGGCACCTTCTAAGGGTGGGGACAACACTTCAGCCACCTCCAAAGAGGCAGGAAGGGAGGGAGGCGCTGCAATGGAGCCTGGCCCTCCTTGGCTGTCCTCAGGTGCCCTTTTGGAGAGGATGGAATGAGCTCCGGCTCCTTTCCCGCTGTCCATGCTGAGACACATCCAAGGAATGCAGCCTCGTGCTTTGCCCTGCTGAAAATCCCACTCACAGGGGCTATGCAGAACAAGGAGCAGTAGAGTAGCTGTATGGTATAACCCTTAGGTTTGAAAGGCTCAAAATCCTCTAAAAACCCCTCCCAAACCCCGGGTGTGAGCTCCAGCAGCTCTGCCACATGAAGAATCACAGCAGCTTCTTGCATTCAACTCAAAATCTTCTTTTTTTCCCTTTGTTCTCAGCCCAACTCCTCATCTCAGCTGGGTGAAGGTCATGGGAAACATTCCCAAGGATGAGCCAGAGACAGAGAATTTTGGGAAGACCCTGAAGATTGACCAGGTGACAGCAGCTGATGAGGGGACGTACCAGTGCACGGCCAGCAACCCCATGGGCAGCGCCAGTCACAAGTTCCATGTGCATGTGGAAGGTACTCAGTACTCTTTACTAAAATTATTGTTTTGGGACAAAAAGGTGGGAAAAGGGAAGTGAAGGAGGCTCTTTGTTGGTATGATTCAGGCAACTCCAGCAATTTATGTCGGCCTCGTGGATTTGGGAAGGTTTGCACAAAGTAGCACCTCTAAAACTACAACAGAAAAAATATAAATAATGATTTTGTTTTTCCCCTGAACCATGAAGGCTTTAAAAATCAGGGAACAATTTAAATATGTGAGCAGGTTCAGTACTCTAAAGATGGGAGGGAGTCAAGCAGAGATATTGATGAAATGTCTTGTACTGAGCTGAAGGTCAGAAAAAATATCTAATTATTCTTTTTGCTCTTAAAAGCTGTAGAATGGCTGTACTGGGCTGGATCAGGGGGACATTTAGCTCAAGTCCTTTTCTTTGGTTTCCCCCAAAAGTGGGCTCTTAGGGAGGGCTGTGAAAATTCAGTGAGCAGACAAGGTACCACCCCTTGCCTCCTTCCCCTCTTCCTTTGCTGTGACTTTTGTACAGGCACAACCTGAGCTGGGAGTGTTTTCTGTAATCCCTGAAAAGCATCATAAACCCTGTGACACAAAGTAAAAAAGATGCTTTCTACTATATTTTAGCAGTTAAAAAGATGGAAATATGACCCTTTTTGTCACCTCACTGAGTACCCAAGGCTCCTTTTTCCTTTCTCCTCCCCAACCCTGGGTGTGCAGCAGGTGGAGCTGCCCTTTCCCAGGAGCCAGCAGAGCTCCGAGGAGTCACTGCAGAGCCAAGAACTCTCCCTGCCACTTTCTCTGCCCAGAAATAACCACAAACTGTGAATCCTGAGGCTGAAAAACTTGCTGAAAACATCTGCCTGATGAAAAATGCTCCAACCTCTGCTCTGCACTTAAAGAATAAAATCAATCCCTGGCGGTTTTACGCTGTTAGAATCTTCCAGGTGCTTTATTTTCATCAGGGCTCCTCATCCCTCTGTGGTCACTGGATTTCTGATGGGAGAAAAGCATTTTGAGCTCCCTGCCCTGTATTTGCTCAGCAGCTGAGGAAAAGATTTTCTCCCAGTGGCTGATGAGTCCTCTCCATTCACTCAACCCAACCTTGTCCCCTGCACTCCACTTTCCCTCTCTGGAAGTGTGGCAGAGGAGGATCCCAGGGCATGGCAAGTTCTCAGCTGTGGTGAAGGGGAAGTGCTGACTCCTAGAAATCCTTCCAGATGGTTTGGAGCATCTCTGCTGTAGCAGAATATTTTAACAATCTGGCTATGATTTTCTCGGCTGCAAAAAATCTATTTCCTTCAAAGAAATTGCAGGAGCTGCAAAAACTAAAATACCAGAGAAATAACATTAATTTTGCAGTTTAGAATATTGACCTTCTTCTCCCACAGTTTCCACAGGAAGGAAAACTTCCTGCCAAATTGTTATTCCTTCTTAACAAACAAGTGCTTAGAAGAAGAGAAAAGAGGGAAATAATCCCACTGCAGCCATTGCAATGTGAAAAATCCTTTTCCAATTGCTACTAAATCCATTTTCCATGTGTGTAACTGATGGTGGCTCCTGTCAGCAGCAGGGATTCTTCCTATTAGGAGTCACCTCACATCCGAGGTGTGAAGGAAAACCTGAGCCCAAACACTGCTGCGATTCCTGAGCAGCAAATGTCGCTGTTGTTGGCTGGGGATGGACACGTTCATCGTTCCTGCAGGAGCTGCTGCCAGCACACTCAAGGGCAGATCCTGAGCCTTCACTGCAGGAGGCTTCAGGGAGCTCGTGCTGATGTTGGGCTCCTCACACCTGACAGCTTCCTCTCACAGGATGTGTGCAGGGAGAGGAAAATTAAATATGGAAGGAAGATTATCTGTTCTTAACCTCCAGCCATCCTCAGTGGAGTGCTGGCGTGTAAATCAGGGTTTTTCTGTCACTGTGCCACGTTTTCTGTTCTTCTTTTTGGTATTTGAGGACCTCAAACCAACACTCCACCCTTCTAAATACCAGTTTTAATGATATTTGCATGCAGCCCACTTCCTAATCCTAGCGAGTCTGAGGGCAAAGATTCAGGCAATCATTACCAAGCATATGAAAATATTCAGCAAGCAAATTGCTTGACTGTTTGAGCATTTTAATCTCTCTTTGCAAGGGAAGATGTAGCCTGGAATACCTGAGCAGACACAAAATCCCCACTGTTGTTATTCAAATGAGAGAGAATTATTTAAAAAAAATAGCGAAGCAAGCCCACAAATTGTTTTGACTTCAAGTGTTTATTTGGTTGCTGTTTGTAGTTCACCAAACCTGAGAGAAAATGAACATAAAACCTCCAAATCTTGCAGGATCATAATGAGCTAAAGTTACTTTGATCTCAACCGAGGCTCCTAGGTGGGGTTTAATATGAAATAATTGTTACAATATAATGATTAATTATAGTAATAATGTCATAGCTAAGGGCCTTTGCAGTTATGTCTCGGAATACTTTTATTACTCAGCCAGAGCAAAAGAAAAGAGATTAAATTAATGGAAAGCAGAACTGGGTGTTTTAATCAGGCTCAAACTTTCTGTTCCACTGGAAAATTGCTCCAAGAGGGATGCAGAGCCCAAGGTGGCGACAGCAGCTGCTGCTGGCCCTGGAGTGGGATGGATTCCCAGCCTTTGGGAAGGTGGGAGGAGAATTGGAAGGGAACTTGACAAATTGGGAAAGTGGTGTGGGATAAAAAGGATGGGCTTCAGTAAGCACAAGTGCAGAGCAATTCTCACCAGGCAGCGCTAATTGGCTTCATCAGCACAGGCTGGGAAATGCCTGGTTGGGTTTTTCAGGAGAATCCACTGGATGGCTAAAGGAACATCACTGGGAAGCGTTAGTCTGGCAGAAAAGGCAAAAATCATCCTGGAAAAGGAAGAAAAGTGTTGTTGTAAGAGACTGCTGAGAACTGAGAAGGCCTCACCTAAAGTAAGCAGATTTGCAACTTTACCTCTTTCAGGAAAAGTCAGGAGAAGGCAACAGAGATGGTCACAGAGCTCAAAATCATGGCATTTGAGAAAAAAATAGTATAGACATCTTTAATTCAGGAGAAATTACACCTGGGGATTGCACAACAGCCTTCAGAAAGGAAATTTCTCCACAAATTTCTTTGGGGGTGATGGAAGACAGGGGAAAGTTAAACTGCAGTAAGGCAGAAGCTGGTTAGATGTCCCAAATTTGTTATACTGAATGGAAAACACAGTGAGAGAGGCTGAGGGAAGGTTTGGATCCTTTGTGGGTGTTTTGGATGCTGATGATCCTGCTCTGCTGCAGAAGGATGCAGGAGATGCCCATTTTAGATCATTTTCATTTCTGGATCTCCCAGTATTTCCCATAAAGACAGAAATCAATCAGGTGGAGCAAACTGATAACTCTTACCAGGAAGAATAAATGATGCAGTGAAATATTTGCCATTCCAGATTAACTATTTGACTATCCAACCCCTGGATTTTGTAGCTGCTAAAAAATCTGTGTCTATTTTGTTATATTTTGTATACTTTAAGGGGTATAGCACATCTGCCACGTGGGAAAGAGGTTCTTCAGCCTTTCTGTGAAATTGCATTTCACACCTGGCAAAATCTCATTGCCTCTGACTTCACAGCCTCTTCTCTTCCTTGGAGCACCCACAGCAATTCCAGTGCTGAGAAAGGAAAGCAGTGACATCAAATATCAGCTCACACCTCCAGAGTGTGGGCACAGGTGGGGACAGGAAGGGATCCTTCAGGTCTGTGCCTGGTGTCTCCAAAACAAGGGAATTTCCTGTCTCAGTTTGGGGCAGATTTAGAGGAAAAATTCCAAACCAACAATTTAGTCAGGACTGCTACAAACCTTTTCACCTCCATCTTTTCCTGATGAAACCATATGCGAGAGAAGGAAAAAGATCTGCAAAACCAAAATATTCTGTTTGCAGAGTTTTTCCCTGGAGTCAAATACCAAGAAGCTTAACAAACGTGGTCATGTCACTGTGGGATGGGAAGTGGCACTGAGTGAGGATGTTGGTAGAAGAATCTCTGCTGGGTGAAGGAAATGTGGTGATTTTATCATTTAAAATAATCTTTAGTGGCTTGAATTTGATTTCAGTCTTTCTATGTTAATTAAACCATTCCTGGACGCTCTCCTGTGGGAATGCTGGGCTGGGTGTGGAAGTGCATCACACTTTAGGGTGGTTTTTATAAATATCTGTGTGAATGGAAGCAGTGATGTTCTGCTTTAGCATATCTCACTGATAACATCTGTTGCTGTATTACCAGGCAACAGCTCTGTTAATCTTCAGGGCATTTTATGAGTATTAACTAATGACTCCTCACATTTTCCCTACATTAACTCACCTTTTTAATAGCAAAAGAGCCCCCATGATCTCCCCAGCACTTGCAGAAGAGGAAGTGTCAGGTCTGGTGTTAAATCCTCTATGTTTGGTGCCTTTCAAGGAGAAATGATGAATTCGAGGCTGTGTTTTGGGTTGAGGCTGCCCACTGAAGGCTCATGGACCTGCGTTCAGTCAGAATTAAGCATTTATGAGATAAATTCTCTTTTTCTCCCCTTCAGCTCCCCTCCCTCGTTATGGATATCTATTCCCAGCAAGGTTTGGGTACCTGATGCTCAGGGATGTTCTGCAGAGGAGTTTTTCCCAGCACATCCCTGAAATAGCTGGGAAAGGCGAGCACAGGGAATGCAGCAGCAGCACACGGCTGCTCCTCTACCACCACCCTGTGGGCACCCAAACCTCTCATCCCCCGTGATGAGAGACTGTTTTACCATTCCTAAATGTGCTGTGGCTCAGCCTCTGGTCTGCAGGATGGATAAACAGGAATTCAGGGTGATGGCGCATTTCCCCAGCACAGGGAGAGGGGCAGGTGGGTCAGTCCTGTCCTGGAGCTCTGTCAGCTCCCAGGAAAGGTGAGGGGAAACACTTGTTCGTACCTAGGGAGGAGGATTCGAGCTGGATGGATATTCACACCATGTTTGCCTTGCTGAAGTAGCCCCACCTTTATCCACAGATCACACTCACACCGGAGGGTTTTTGTGGAAGTGCCGAGCCATTCCCTCCTTCCCAGCCTCTCCCCTCCTGTGTCCATTCCTTTCCCACCTGGATAAGCGCTGCCCGTTCCTCCGCCCTGCCTGGCTCTCACCAAGCCTGCCGGACAGGATTGCTGTGTGCTGATGCTAATTTTGTCTTTCCTTTGCGCTGGAAGTACAAGGAATCCAGCTGAGCCACGGGATGGGCTGCGAGCTGGGAAGTGTTGGTGGCGTTTGCCATCTCCTGGAGAATCCCAGCAACAGCAGAGGCACTCACTGGGCTCTGACTGGGCCGCCTTAGGATTCCAGCTTTTCTATTTCCCATCTCTGTGTAACCCTGCAGTTCTTTAGTGCAGAACTCCAAACTCCACACCCAGTGCCAGCTGCTGCTTCCCCACTTTGGGCAGACACAGCAATTCCTCTCCAGGCCTGGCAATCAAGGACACCTCACTGCCTCAGGCCTGAGAGATGGAAACAAAAGGGAGCTGGGGCAGCAAACTTGGGCTAAATGACTTCATTACCTGCAGCTGGAATTGGAAAATCAACCCCCAAAATGCAAATGGACCAAACTTATAAAAGTGTAAAACCTGTGGTCCATTTTTGGGTGCAGCCCCTGGGGGGCTTTGTCTGCCCTAAATGTCCCTGCAGGCCTTCAATGAACAGAACTGCTTTTTATTCCCTTAATTCTGCCTGGCCTCTGTTTTTAGGTAGCCCCAAAAGTCACCAGCTGATCCCTGTTCTGTCTCTTTTTCCCAGAGCCTCCCCAGTGGCTGAAGAAGCCCGAAGGTGGTGTCTACAGCGTGGGGACAAACCTGGTGCTGCTGTGCGAGGCCATCGGGAACCCCGAGCCCAGCATCCAGTGGAAGCTCAATGGGATGCCCATCGATGGTATGGGGTGCTCCTCCAGGCCCTGTCCAGGGGGGCTGTGCCTCTGTACCACCCAGTCTGAGGGGACCCACAAGTCCTAATGCACTGAGTGATTGTCTGGTTTGGCACCTCTTTAGAAATGAGTTGTTTATTTACTTGAATAAACGAATATTTAAATAGGATTCTTGAAGAGGATAGTGGTGAACAATTCACATGTGGAGAGTGGTACCTTTCAGGTGCTGCCTCTGCCTCACCTGTAACTCTCCCATCCTTTGGAGATCTGGGATAGCTCAAGTTTTGTGCTTCTGTGTAAGCTCAAGTGGCTGGGGAGCACTGGTGGAGCAGTATTATTATTATTATTATTACTATTATTATTATTATTATCATCATCATCATCATCATAATTTTTAAAGTCTCTGTGGTGAATTTACCAGAATTTGGTGCCCTGGAGCACTTTCCTCAGGCCTCAGGACTGCTGGCAAAGGCAGAGCCCTGGAACTCCCCAGCTGTTGGGCAAGGTCGTGGTTGGATCCTCAAGATGTTCTTTCCCTTGGCTTCCAAGCGCTGAGGAGAGCCTGGGAGCTCCCCAGTCACGGTGATCCTCCAGCTCCTGACACAATCTGGTGTTTTCCAGGCAGGACCTTCCGAGGGAGAATCTCCACCAGGGAGATCAGCCTGACCAACCTGCAGCTGCAGGACAGCGCCGTGTTCCAGTGCGAGGCCACCAACAAGCACGGCACCATCCTGGCCAGCGCCAACATCAACATCCTCAGTGAGTCCCCCGGGCTATCCCCTCCCAGAGATCACATCCAACAACCCCAGGCTGAATCCTCAGAGCAGCCTGGGGCTTGGCAACATCTCATGGTTCCCTTGGACTGGCCCCAGATTTTAAGAAATATTGACTAAATTTATGCAACTGGTTTTATCACGGGCAGTGTTATGTGCTTAGCATAGACACTCCTGAGCTTTCAGCTATTTTAAAAACATGTTTGTAGCTGAGCTTAAAAACCTGAGTTCAAACACAGTGAAACCACTGGGGACTGAACTGTGACCACAGCACTGGTTTTGAATTATTAAGTGTATTTCTAATCTTTGATTTCAGTGGTGATGTTCAGCCTGTTCTTTGAAGAAAGGGAGTGAGGGGAATTTATTTAATAGAAAACATCTCCGGAGGCAGCAGAACCGGGTCTGTTTTCTCTCCTGGATGTTTCAATTTCTGACATGTCCAGCAGTAAACCCCTGTTATCTCTGTCAGTGAATCTTCTGAGAGCTCAGTGCTGCTCAGTGCAGCTCTTCCAAACAGCTGTGAAATTCCCATTAAACACCTCAGCCTCTCCCCCTTGCTGGAAAAGGGGAGGGTGCAGGGCCAATATTTGTATTCCTAGTTGTGAAATGCAGTGCTGCTCACCTTGCATCCTCTCCTGCAGATATTGCCCCCCTGATACTGACCCCAGATGAGGAAAACTACGCCACAGTCGTGGGTTACAGCGCCTTCCTGCACTGTGACATCTTTGCCTCACCTGCAGCAGATGTCAGATGGTAGGATACTGAGAATCAGGTTGTTTTTTTAATGTGGAACAAGTTTCTGCAGGCTTCTCCAGGTTTGCAGAGTCTGTTAGTTATTATTTCTATGGAATTAAGAACAGAAATCTGCAACAAATCTATATATAATGTACATTTCCTGTGTTTAAATGCTCTTTTAAAATTTCGGAAGAACTGTGTAGGAAAAAAAAGAGTTCCTGGAAGTCCCCAATACCTGCTTGAGACAAATACCAGGCTATACAATAAGCAAAACCATGCTGTTTATAGCCAAATCCTGCTGCAGCTTCAGTTTAATCAGTTTAATGTTGGCAACTCTTTAAGTTTGGACACATTATTGAGGTGGAAACGCAGTGACTTACAGGACACATTTACCTGGACATGCTTCCATAGGGTTGGAAATCACAGGACTGTCACAGCAGGTGACAGGTGCAATAAAATTGCAGGTGGCATCTGTAGATTAAAGACAGAGTCTTTTAGAGAACTTTTCCGACTCTGTCCCTGTGGGTTTGGTGTGCAGGACTCTTAATTCCCATTATGATTTGCTGTGCGTGGATAAAGCGCCTCACTAATCCTGACTTCAATTGCTCAGGGGCAGAGCCGAGTCCCAGAATACCCCTGCAATAACCCCTAACCATGAACTAACACTTCCTGCAGTAACCCAGGCCTGTTTTTATCGTCTGTAGGACTAAGGATGACAGCATAGAGCCCCTTTCAACGTTTCGTTACGAGCTGAACAAGAACGGCACCCTGGAGATCAGGGACACCAAGAAGGAGGATTCGGGATCCTACGCCTGCTGGGCTGCAAATTCCGTGGGGAAAAGAGCAATCACTGCTAATCTGGATATAAGGGGTGAGAAGAGAAAAAAGCATTCACAGCTGCTAAGATTTTATGTCTCCAGTTTTCAGTCCAGGGTACAGATTTATTCTGTGATTTTAGGGGTTATTTGGATATTATGGCCTGAAATTGTCGCATATATATGTGGCCTTTAAAATAGTCCCAGCTTTTCAGCTGGATTTCTCCATGCTCACACATGGTGCTCATTTCCTTCTGGATGCTTGCAGAAGCTGCACAAGCCACCAAAAATTTGCATTTGCACATTATCTTGAAAGGATTTTCCCTCCTTTTTGTCACTGCCCTGTTACACCCAGGACAGGCTCTCGGATGACCCTTGGGAGCCTTCCCTGTGCTCCTGGGCTTGGTGGGATCCTTGTTGATCCAGATGTGTTCCTGCTTCTCCCTCAGCTGTGGGATTCCCTTCCCTAAAATCCCTTCCCATCTGTTGATCAGAAGGCACATCCCAAACTGGATTAACTCCCACAGTGGACACCAACACCTTGCTGCTGGATGAAGGACTTTGCACTGGGCTTCTGCGTGTTTGTTGATAAATATTTTTAAACAGAGAAAAAAAAAAAAGAAGTGTTTACTTATAAATTTTAGATCCATCCCTTGTTCTGCAGCTTTGTTTTAAGGGATTTGTGTGGTTGGTAGCAGGAGGGGTTTTCCCTGGAGGGGCTGATGGCAGTGGGCAGCTCCTGTTGGGCACACAGCTGACATTTAATGGGTTTTCTACAAATTTACTTAAGATTTAGGGCTTGCCAATAAAAAAACAAAACTTAAATACTCAATTAGCAAAGCTCTCTGATGTAGGTTTGCTGTGACAAAGTTGAGGAATAAGCCCACTCTTTGTGTTCCATTTCCACCCACTCCCGTGGCTTTGGGAATTTTACAGTGATAATAAACATGAAAATGTACAATGAAATTCTCACAGAGCAACATTTCACTGCAGAAATAAATTCAGCTAAGTGCTTTCTTCTTACTTATTCATCTGTTTCTGCATTCAGATTACAGTCAATTAAAAGAACAAACTTGATTGCAATAATTTTTTCTCACTTGACTTTAATAAGCTTGTAATTTTTCTTGGATCATTGCCAAAGCTTATTTCAAATGGCAATTAGACATAAAAATCATATTCAAGCTTTTTTTTTTATCATCCATTTAATGACAGGCTTCTAACAAGGATTTTCACCTGTAACCTTTTTTTTTGTGGACTTTCTTTTTGTGGATTTTTTTTTTCTGGAGCTCTTTGGTTTGGAGCAAACTAAAAAATGTTTCAAGATAAAAAACGTTTGAAGATAAAAAAAATGTTTCAAGATAAGAAATGGAATCTTGGCAAATATCTATTTCAAACCCCACCATCCTTCACTTGAAATGTTTGTGTATATAACAGAAAAAAGACATGATTGTTGCTCCTGAGGTTGATTTGTGTAGATGAAGTGCTTGGTGAAAATTTGATGTAATAGCCCCTCTCTCACCTAATCAAAGTGTTTTTCTGTGATCAATCAGATGCTACAAAACTTGTTGTTACTCCAAAGAGCCCCCGAGTGCTGAAATCACATTCCATTTTATTGAAATGTCAGGCTGAGTATGATTCCCACTTGAAACACAGTTTTAAATTATCCTGGAGGAAGGATGGAGATGAGCTGCCAGTCAACAGCACGGAAGGTGGCAGGTGAGTGGGGAAGGAACAAGGCTGTTCTTGATCTCAGCTGGATAATCTGGTGCTGGAGCTGGAGTTTCATTAAACATGAGCCTTTAATAGCTTGAAATGCAAATTTATGTCTGCAAAGAATTCTTCATGTGACACGTGAATAAATCTGCATTTTATGCACATATAAATAGAAATGCAGCAGTGTGAGTTTTGAGCCAAATGGGTTTGGGTTTATTAACTCTGTTACCATCATAGCAGGGTACAAAGTTATATATTCATATATACATGATACATATCTGTATTTTATGTATAATATAAATGTTGGCCAAACACAACCCTGACCCCAGTGCAGGTTTTTTCTCCACTTGAGTAGAACCTGTATCTTCTTATAGTTTACACTTACTTGGCCAAAACAAAGTCTTTGCAATGTTGAAGTGATGGTAAACAGGTTTCATGGATTCTGTCATAAATTTTTCTGATGTATGAGTTTAGGATTTGCAGGTTCAGGAATTTTGCCCTATTTTTAGGTTTCCATTGATCTCAATGGGCTGGAGCTCAGCCTTTATTCCATAGAGGGGTCCCACAGCAGGCAATCAGATGTCTTTATTAATTACCACAGGAGAGAGATGTTTCCTAAATACTGGAGAGGCTGAAAATCCCACTGAGCCCTGGTAGGATGGTGAGGCAATGCCATGGAAATTCCACGTCTGCCACGGAGCCCATGGCCCTGGATTCTTGGCAGCTTCCCTGGTGCTTTGGACATGACACAAATGCCTTGGGAATGCTCAGTTTCCCTCAATCTTTCAAAAATTCCATCATAAACCCCATATATTTGTCTCATTAATGACATGCCAAAATCCTATGTCCCAGGCGCTCATCCAGTGCATCTCAGTGTGGTTCTTTTCAGAGCAGGGTTGACAGGCCACGGGGGCTAAATTGCCACAAAACACAAATAATAGTCCTCAGCACAGTGCAGAGCAGAGCCACAATTACATTTTAATGTAACAGGCCCAGTGTGCAGCTATTTAATGAAAATATCCCGTGCCAAGTTCTTTTATGAACAATTTTTCAGAGAACAACATCTCTGTGTGTGTCGTACTCATCTTACGAATTTTTCTCATCCTTATTACCTCTTTTTTGTGTTTTTTTTTTCTCCCCTGCAGGATAATTCTGGACAGGGATACCCTGTTCATATCCAATGTGCTCCTGGAGGATCAGGGAGTTTACACATGTGTGGCCAGCACTGCCCTGGACGCCGCCGAGGCCGAGGCACAGCTGATCGTTCTGGGTAAGGTCGATTTTCCCGGTGTGGAAACAGCTCCTTGCAGCAGGAATTGCCACTGCAGCACTTCTGCTTCTTTGCTTCTTTTCACAGCGCCTCAATAACCCAATTTCACAGAGCCTCTCACTCCTTAACCTCTGCTGTGCTGTCCCTTATCTCCAGGAGCAGCAATGCTGACACAAACTCGATTTATTTTCATCTTTGGTGTAGCAAGACGAGGCAGAATTTTTGCCTCAGGTCAGTGGCTGCAGGAGCTGCCCAGGCTGGAGGGTGTAAGAGCATACTGAGAATGGTTCTGCTCCTGCTTTGAAGTCCTTGGCCAGCCCTTCACTTCACTGGAGGTTTGCACAGGAGTTGGACTATATTTTGAAGGCCACCAGGCCAAGATTTGGATGTGCAGCTCCTCGGAAGATCAGTGCGAGTTAAGCACCTAAAAGGAATAAATTATATCCGTGAACCTGAGCATAAATGACTGTCCAGGGGCAAAGAGCAGAGAAGAGCCTTGACCCCCTGGCTCTGAAGCTTGGCCTTGTGAGAGCATCCCCACAACCTGCATCCCTCCCTGAAGGACCACTTGGAATTAAGAGGATGAACTTTTGGAGTGCTGTGCACCCATTGTACCCAAGGGCAGCAGCCAGCAGCCAAAATTCTGCTCTGTGGTCACAATTTTGGCCAGTCTGGTCTAGGTGAAGGTGTTCCTGCCCATGGCAGGGGGCTGGAATTAGATAAATCTTTAAGGTTCCTTCCAACCCAAACCGTTCCATGACTTCATGATTCTCTGACAGCTTTGCATCATTTTAATTACATTTATTTTTGCTTCATTTTGCGTTTTTATTTATTGCTGGCAGTGATTGCAGCAAGAAATAAGTCAATCTGCCCTTCAAGATGTTTTTTCACTTTAAAGGAGTGATATTTTTTAGTAAATAGTAAATTAGGAAGATGCTGTGCGCATTATTTATGGTGCTGTGTCCTTCAGTGCTGTATAATTCAAAATGTTTTTAGACTATTCGTTACTTCACTAATGAAAATTTTATAAAGCACTTTGTTCCTTTTTAAAAAGGTGATTTGCAGAAGAAGAAAAACAGTTTTCAGCTCTTTTCCCTTGTTTATTGCTTGTGAGAAAGGTCTTGGTGAATTAACAACATCCGTTATTTTCCAAGTGAAAAATTCAAGTTCTTGCAATCAAGGACTTGTGGGCTGACTGAAGAACGAAATGGAGACATCAGATTAGGGCCAACTAAAAGTAAAATAAATACTCAATTAGAAAAATTCTAAGTATTTGTTGTGTGTTTAACAAACAGGTTAGAGGGGTGGGAATATTTTAGGTGCACCATCACCATCTTTAAGTTAATATATTGAATTTTAACCAGCTGTGCTCCAAGGACAGAGTAGCAACATGCCTGTAGATTAAACTGTGCTTTCCTGATTTTTTTCCCAGGTACAAGAGAAATAGGGAAAGAAGTGCAAAGAAAAGGAAAAAAAAAATTTCCAAATATAAACTTTGTAACTTCTTGATGTACCATGAGATGAAACACAGTATTGTAATTTTTAAAAAATTAGTACAGAGTGATTTTTTTTTTCATAACAACAAAGTCATGGTGGTGGTTTTTCTGTAAGAAATGAAAATGTCAGCCAAAAGTTTAGTTGTGACAGCATTAGTTGTGCTGGCAGGTAGTGAATTTCCCAGTTCCCTGTTAATGTTGATCCCCATATATATAAAATGGGATCATGAATGCTCTCCTTTCCCTCCCACCCTCAAAGGCCAAGTTCAATAACTGCCAGGGCTGAGTCATCCTCTCCCACTCGGATGTGTCCCAGGGTAAATCCAGGCAGTGCTGGCATGCCCAGAGCTGTGTCCATACCCATGAAAGGTGAAGCAGATCTTGGGGTTGATTTGGAATGAAAAATCTGTTGCTGCAAGCGCAGTAATGTGGGTAGAGGGAGATGAATCCGAGAAGGATTTTGTGTTTATAAGGGAAAAATCAGCGCCAGGAGATCTGGGGTTTTTCAAAGCAATTCCCACTTTCCACAATCTGTCCATCTTGAAATCAGGAGGTATTTCACCACCATCTTCACTGATTCTGCTGTTCCAACCCTCTGGAAAATGCCAGGACAAACAGAAATACCTTGCTGTGCTACTGACACTTCTTCTTTATTTCTCAGATGTTCCTGACCCACCAGAAGACCTCCAGCTGTCGGAAAACCAAAACCGGAGCGTTCGGCTCTCCTGGAAAGCTGGGGCCAGCCATAACAGCCCTGTTAATGGTAGGGAGGGGTTTCCAGCGTAATTTTGTAGGGCTGTTCAGAATTCTGGCATGTCCTGGTTGTCACAGGACACAAACCCTGCTGATGGCCAGGTTTAGTCACTTAACTATGACAGTTCATTTGTTGTAAGTTCATTTCCACCCACGCTGTTCACATTAAGTTGTTTTTCTTTTAATCTTTTTTTCCCTTTTTTGTCTTCTTTTTCTTCCCAGAATCAATTATAGAGTTTGAAGAGAACCGCTGGGAGCCGGGGAGGTGGCAGGAGCTCAGCAGAGTGCCAGGGAATGACACCACAGCCCTGCTGTCCCTGGCCCCATATGTGAATTACCAGTTCCGTGTGGTGTCCGTCAATGCCGTGGGCAGGAGCCAGCCCAGCAAACCATCCCTGCGCTATGCCACCCCTCCAGCTGGTAAACCTGACTCTGGTTTCCTAAATATTCGTATTTTCAGTGCTTTTTTTGGAATATCTGTGCCCTCCCGTGCTCCAGAGGGCGTGAAGAAATCCGGGTCTCTTGCACTGCTCAGCGGCAGCCTCAGGGATTATTAAACGTCCTGTGGTGGGAATTACCACCAGCTGGTTCAGTGGAACTGGAATAACCCTCAGTAATTTTGGTGGGCCAGGTGACCATTTGAATTGACTGTATTAATTAAAGCAGTGGATTTTCAGAGAGGTAGAATCAGCTGGAGGATGTCCCGTGACAAGCCATATTCTGATATTTTAGATATGAATGAGATGGGAACCCTGCTGGGATGAATTCTTCAGTGATTGGTAAAAAAGAGCAGCCCAGCAGTTGCACATCAAATGTCCAGGTGTTGTTTTAAGCATTTGATGTGCAGCTAGAACAAATCTAAATTTTAATGACCCAACTTGCTGTGCTGTATAAAATTCCTAAGGATGCCAAAGGGAGGAGTCCACACTGCTGGGTTTTCCTACACCTCCAGCACCTCACTCTGCTGATTTTCCACCCTTTGCAGACCTTCATGGACAAACAGTTCCTGGAGAAGGGCTGGGTTTACAGGGAGCCTTTCAGGAGCACTAAGTTTGTCAAAAAATCTCCATTTACAGAGCATTCACTGGGGCAGAAAATGTTGTCTTCCCAAAAATCATTTTAGAGGCCAACTTTTCAGCACAGCATTTGCATTCCTTGGCATTTTCACTCTTTTTTTCCCCATTTACACCAATTTCAGATCCTTTTTCATCTTTCCAGCTGTGTGTATGTCTAATGATACCCCTTCTGTTTGCTATCCCCACAGGGAGAAAAATCTCTTCCTCACAATCCCCCCACATCTGGTGCTTTCAAATCCAAAAGTCACAGCTCTGTGTTAGCTGGTGGCTCCAACCAAGAGGGGCACTTAGGAATTCAAACTGCATAAATGACGTGTTTGGGTCCCATCAGCTTTTTGTTTAAGTGTCTGTCACTAGTAGGGGAATTTCCCATCCTTTTTTGGCACTTAAATGCTAATTGCAAATAAATGGGGTGTACAAACTGACCTTGTCACCTGTGTGGTTTCAGCTCCAGATAAAAACCCAGAGAACATCCGAGTTGAAGCCTCTGAACCCAATGAAATGGTGATGAAATGGGAGGTAAGGCAAGATTAGCAAATCCTATAGGAACGATCCTTTATTCTTCTGAAAGCTGAATTTGACTTAAATGTATTCTGGATTTTCAATCCCAGTATCATTTTTGTTTCAAAAGACTGCTTTTTTATGTACGACTTCACAAGATATTAAAAAAATATGGAACTTCTGTAAAGCATAGTGAGAATTCATCAAAATTTGCTCTTCTCTGCTTCTTGTATGCAAGAAACAGCTTCAAATTATTATGGTCTTACCCTTCTCTGCAATTAAAATTACCAGCCAGGCCCAGGGAAGGGATGGGTGGCTCATGGCTTTTGCCGTTCCAGCCTGGAAGTTTAAAAACGCCACAGATCCCTTGCCCAAGAGAATGTGAGCTTGAATTTTTACACCAAGAACTAAAGGAATGTGGATAAACCTCCAAAGCCTGTGATGTGCATCAAAGGAATTATGTAAAAGTCTTGAGGATGGTTTCCAGACTTCAAATTTTCTGGGTTTTAAGCCTCGAGCTTCTGTGCCAACAGTTGAGTTATGTGTTCCTTCATTTAGCACAAATATCCACAACTGTGGAAGGAAGCAGGTTTTTGTTGAGGCTGGAATTGCACACAATTTGCATGAGATTTACTCCTCAATCTGCTGCACCCAACGAAGAACAGCAAATGTTTCCCCAGTGGGAAGTCATGGTTTGGGGTATAATTGCATCCAAAAGGAGATGGCCCTCAAGATCCTTGGATTTGGATTGGAATGGGATTTTTTAGCCCAGGGTTAGGGGAGAAAACTGCCTCTCAGAAAAGATTGGATTTGATCTTGGATGTCTTTTTCAACTTTAATGAATCAGTGAAATGCAGAGTTCTAGTACCCAGTGTGTCTATTTGGAAATACTGGGATGTCAAACACATCTTTGAGCACCAGAAACTTCACAATCACTGCTCAGACAGGGCAAAAGTGGAAGTGAAAGCTGAGCCTGAAAGGAGAGAATGGGATGGAAAGGCTTGGTTAAATCTTGTTGAATCATTAAAATGTTTTTAAACAGGATATTCATTTATTTATGGCATTTCCTGTGTGCTTTTCAGAGGAGCTGCTGGGCACTGCACAATCTATTTCTGACAGACAAAGGCTGCAGAATGATGTTAATCTGCCTATTTTGGATTAAGAGACCAGCTGAGCTTTAGTGACTGGGATTTTTAGCCAAGGATTTGCAGCTTTAAGGAAGATCAAAATAAGAGTCAAGCGGTGCTGTGATTTAACTATATACAAGAAATCATATTTTCAGGAGGAATTTTTTACTTCTTCAGCTTTCCTTGCAAATCCCATTCCCAGGGATCTTTGCCACAGAGGTGGTGCCTGTGAGAAAGGCACCCAAAGGTCCTCACAACAGAGGAGGTCAGTGGGGATTTTTGCAGGTCCCCCAAATTTAGGTCTCCCCATGCATGAGGAACATCAAAGGGAAATCGCTTTTTTCTGGTATTTGATGCTATTTCCTGTCAGACCTCTTAGATACAAATCAGCTATAATATCTTTCATATTTGCCTGTGTTTAAATATTATTAAAAGCAGCCTGTGTGGTAAGAAACACCCACAGCTGTTTCAGTGTGTAGCATTTTTGGTAGGGTAGGTGATTATTTAACTTTCTTAATTAAAGTAGTGCATTTTCAGAGAAATAAACTCAACTTGAGGATGTATGACAAGCTACTGCTATACATCTCCTAATATTTTATAATTTCATGTTAATTAGCTGGAAACCCTACTGGGATGAATTCTCCAGCTGACTGGTAAAAGCAGAGTGGCCCAGCAGTTGCAAATTAAATGTCCAGGCGTAATTTCAAGCATTTGGTGTGTAGTTAGAACAAATCTAAATTTTAATGACCCAACTTACTGTGCTACATAAAATTCTAAGATAAAATGCAAATTTTATCTCTGCTAAAAGGCTCACACAGCCTTATGCCAAACTGCAGTTTGGTTGTGCTGAAGGCGTGGGGTTTTACCTCACACAGGAAAACCTGTGGCAAAACAAAACCTGATGTGTGTAGGAGGCAGAAATACGGCTCCTAGCAATTAATCTGGATTTTAATCCAAGCCTTTCGCCCTCCTTTCTCTTGAAGTCATGATGTTCTTGTTCCAATCAGCCTCAAATTCAAATGACAGCAAAAAGCTTGCGGTTTTCACCCCTTTTTCTCTCCCAGTGCTGTAACACACATTCCAAAATTACCTCCCCTCCCCTCGGCTGCTGTTTTGTGATTACAACAAAGGTGGACAAGATCTCTTTTAACTTTTCCCCAGCCACTGAAGCCCGTGGAGAGGAACGGGCCGGGGCTGGAGTACAAAGTCAGCTGGAGGCAGCGGGGTGTGGAGACCGACTGGAACGAGGAGCTGGTGAAGAAACACTCCCTGAGCGTGCGGAACGTGCCCACCTTCGTGCCTTACGAGATCAAAGTCCAGGCAGTGAATAATTTAGGATCTGGCCCCGAACCAAATGTCACCATTGGATATTCAGGAGAGGACGGTGAGTGGCAGGAACTTGCCTGTAAAAACGGGGGCTTCTTGTGCTGCAGAGCGCTGGGGTGTGGAGTGATGGATTAGGCAGCCCAGAGCTGCTGGAATTCCAGTGCTCAGCCTGATGGGCTCCATGAGGCATGGGCATGACCCGTGCTGGGCGCCAGCCTGCTGGAGTGTGAGGGGTTTTTTTGGAAAGGTCGCTTGTGCTCTCATTAATCTCAGTTGTTGGCTTAGTCTGGGTACTTGTTTGAAGGCCACACTCCATGAGAAGTCTCTGAAGTGTAGCAGTCGTGCTGTACTCGTTCGGAGAAAAATCTTTGGGTTCTCTGAGGCTTGACCCAACAGTTTAAGGGTGTCAGAAGTTAAATACTCGGACAATTAGAGACAGACTGGCAGGCACTGGGTGTTTGAGTGAATTTACAGACAATGCCACTTTCCCCCTGCGTGTGCTGGTGTTACCTTGTGAGTCCCCAAAGAATGTGCCATCTTCTCCAGCCTGGCTTTCTGCCCCATGGTTCTCCATGGCTCCCAGGTGGAGTTTCAGGGCTGGAAATGGACTCAGTGGTGGTCAGACAGGAGAATCCCCACTGCCCACCCAGAGGTGGGAACAGGAAGGTCTGGTGGTGCAGAAGAGGTGGTGAATAGCATGAACGAGAAGAAAGAAACTCCACAGCATGTTTATTTTCTTTGTCTCTCTGTGATGAGTCTAATTTTACATCTACCACTGGAAAATCTTCCTTGCAATTCAGTTGTCAATGGATCAAGGCCTCCTTTTTTTCAGGCACTGTAATAGCTCTCTGTGTTATGCAGTGATTAAAACCCTACTGTTTAATGAGCTTAGTTGTAAAATGAAATTGATTATAAAAAAAACCTTTATGATTGCCTTCTTGAGTGCCGTGTTAATCATTTTTTTTATTCTTCTCACTGCTGTAAGCATTGCTTGAAACAGGAAATCATAAATACTGGTGTAGAAATTCATGTGTCCCAGTGCACACGTATCCCAACCCTCAGCAGAAAAATACAGGAAAATAATATTTATTGGCCCATTCCACCCACTGGATGCAGGTGGAATGGCTTTGTGCTTGCCTGTGGTGAGACTGCATGAAGTGGCACAGCTGGAGCCAGAATGCCAAGCCTGGAGCTGTGAACAATGTGAATCTGGGCTCTTGGAAGTGTTTTTAACACCTGGGACGTTTGTTTTTACAGTTCCAGATGCTGCTCCTTCGGGCGTGTCGGTGGAGGTTGTGAACAGCACCCTGGTGAAAGTCTTCTGGTTTGGGATACCAAGGGACAGAGTTCGTGGGCACTTAAAAGGCTACAAGGTTACAAAATTCTCTCTAAATATTTGTATGTAGTTGAATAAATTATTAAATGAGTCCCAGATTGCAATCTCTCATTTGTGGGAAGGTGAGAGAGATCGTGATCATGCTCATCCCCATACAATATAAATTGTTTTAGAAATCCCAATCTCCTCACAGGTCAACTGGTGGAAAACAAAAAACATGCTGGATGGAAAGAGGCATCACCCAGAGAAACACTTCCTGACGTTTGTAGGAGACAGGAACTATGGGATGATTCCTGGCCTGGAGCCCTTCAGTGAATTCCGCTTGACAGTTTTGGCTTTCAACTCCAGAGGAGATGGCCCTGAGAGCTCCCCTGTGGTGTTTGAAACTCCAGAAGGAGGTAAGACAAGAGGAAAATATGGGATGGAGGGACATAAATTGAAATTGTCCTTGGGACAAGGCGAGCTGATTCCCTTATTTGAGGTAATAGTGAAAACTCCACTATTCATGGAACCCTTCACTTGAAAGGGGAGCTGTGGATGTTGAGCTGAATTACATCCTCATTTAACAAGGATTTGTAGGGACCTGCTCACTTTCCTCTGAGATCTCACCCCTGTGTCTTCCAGTCCCTGAACAACCACGTTTCCTCCGGATCCTGAACTTTGACAAGGACTCGGTCACTCTGTCCTGGGGGCTTCCCAAGAAAGCCAATGGCCACCTCACAGGCTACGTCCTACAGTACCAGATAAGTATGTGCCTGGTTTGCTTTGGGTGCAGAATTGAGGCAGGATTAGTTAAGGAAACTCCCAGGTGTGATGTGCACAGAGGCTGCCAGAGGGCAGGCTGCAGTCAGCTCCCAGAGCTGAAAGTTTTCCATGCACTTTTTCCCATGGAAGCTCCCGTTGCTGCCGTTCCCTGTCCCACATTTATTGGCTGATTGAATTATTTCATAATTTCACCTAATGTAGTGGTTAAAAAGACCCATAAATTGTAGATGTCTTTTACTGGGGTGAAACTCATTTAATACAAAGTGAATTGTGATGAGAGCACTCTATGAAACCCCATTAATGTATAGCTGCACATTATGTCACAGAGCTTCTCCCCCCTAAGGTGCCTCAGCAGCAACACAAAGAACCACCTGAGACATGGTGTAGAGTAACCACACTGAAAACAACCAAATTCCAGGGGATTTCTTTCTTTCTTGCCTAGGAAAGAAATGAGAAACAAAGACAACCTCAAGCAAGACCCAGTACTTAGCCCAGACTGCCACACCACCAGTTGTGTGGTGATAATTCAGTGTATTTTGTGCTCTTTGAGGGTGGAAAAGGAAACAAAAATCCCCCATGTACTTTACACTTCTCTGCTGATAGCAGAACTGCTCAGATGCCTTTGCCAACAGGCTGGTGTCTGGATCTTCTTTTGGTTGTGCTGATTATGTGCAGAGTGGATCTATTTACAGAATCCCAGACTGGTTCAGTTTTGAAGGGACCACAGAGTCGTCTCGGTCATCCCACAGCTCAGGAGTGTGTCCAGATGGCTCTGGGATGTCCCCAGTGAGGGAGAGACTGCAGCCTCTCTGGTCTCTGCTCCAGTGCTCAGTCACTGCACAGGGAAGCTCTTCCTCGTGTCCAGCTGGAACTTCTGGGCATCAGTTCCCTCCCAGTGCTGGGCACCACCAAGCACAGCCTGGTCCATATTCTGACACCTCCCTTCAGATATTACTAAATATTTATAAGATTCTTTCTCCATTTTCTCACAACCCCTCCTCAGCTGCCAGCTCTGAGCAGCCAGAGCAGCTCACAGCCCACCAGCCGCCCTCTAAGCTGCCAGTAGAAGTTCGCAGATGTTTGGAAACAAAGCAAGGAGCCATTCATAGATATTTAATGATGATGGGGACAATCATTCTTCCCTCCCACTCAGGCTGTGCATATGTGCACTCCGAGAGCTTCCCAAGAGCAGTGATAGCTCACCAAGCCGCTGAGAGGTGGACACAGATGACATCAATCCCACTTAACCCCGTCAGGAAGGGCCCACAGCCTTCCTCCTCCCCTCTCCCAGCCGAGTTCTCCCTCCTGGGGGTGCTCAGGACACATTTCCGTGGCTCTGACCGAGGTGCTCTTCCCTTGCAGTCAACGAGACGCACGAGGTGGGCGCCGTGAGCGAGGTGAGCGTCACCAACCGCTCCGTTCTGAGCTGGCGCCTGGCGGGGCTCAGCCCCAGCACCAAGTACAAGTTCTACATCAAAGCCTGCACGGCCAAGGGCTGCGGGAAGGCGGCCACCGAGGAGGGGCTGACGCTGGCCCAAGGCAGTAAGTTCACAAAGTCCGGTGTGGTGCGGAGGAGCTCTAAGAATAGCGGGGAAATGCTGGTAAAACTTTCCCCTTGTAAAATCACGGCTCAGGCCTGCTGCTGGGGCTCAGCAGGAAAGGAGCATGGGAAAGTGACTCAGCTGAGTTGGAGGTGGGAAAACGTGTTGTAGAACCACGACGTGCTCACATGGTGGTTTATGGTGGTTGGTTGAATTATATTTGTTATACTTCAGTGGAATGTAACTGAAAATGGGCTAACTGCTTCAAAAGGCCTGGGTTTTGCCATAAAGAGCTCTCCTTTGCACCTGCCTGGGGACTCTGCATTACTCTGCTTCGTAACGGGAAAATCCATCAGGAATACTCCAGGCTTGACGTTTCCTTCATAATTAAGGGAAATAAGTTTGTTTTCCTTGCCTTGAGAGCAGTCAATGGACTTTTTAATGTGGCCATGGTGTTCTTCAGGGAAGCAGAGCTCATCTGTTTCATTTTGCTGTGCAGTCCTGTTTCTGTTCCCATCCTTAAGCCATGCTGGAATAAGTGAATTGCATTCAGGCACAAACAGAAAATTGAAGATGCAGATAATCTGTTCTCAGTAATATTATAAAAACAAATTCTGCCCATGCATGAAGATGGGGGACTGCCAGCAACATTAGGGTCAGCTGTTTGACATGGAAAATCCAGATAAACATCGAGCTGACTGCATTTGCTCCATTATTTATGATTATTTTATCAGATACCAGGAGTGAGCATTCGTGTGCCACTTACACCCTGTGCTGAAACACTGATGTTCAGTGGTTTAAAGGAAAATCCCCAGCACTCTATGATAGCTCATCTTTCACTTTCAGCTGAAATGAAATAAAATGTACTGTGCTCAGCAAGTCTGAGAACTCCACAGTACTGAGGAGCAGCTCCTCGCTATTAATCAGAAACTATTGCCGTGCACTTACCCCGGGGAAGGAGAAACAGAATGTGATAAGCAAAAGAGTCCTGGCTGCATCATTTTTAGCAAAGATAACAGTCTGCAGCAATGTTGATGTAAAACAGAAAAATGGCCCGTGTGCTGTTGGAATTCTAAGTTGCAGAATTCTTTTCAGTTACTGGTAAAACAGGTAAAAAGTGTTTTAAACCTTCAAGTCCCAGTTCCAGATCCAGTCAGGAGCTGCCATTTGTTTTCCCAAAACTCCTTCTCAGCTCTCTTTTGGTCTCCAGTCTCACTGTAGGATACAGGTACTCACCTGGTACCAACTATTAATCACTTTAATTTAAAATTTATTCCTCATTATGAAAAATCTTTTTTTTTCCTATTTTTTCCCAATATAAAAATACCCCATTTCCTTTCATTAGTTGCCTTTTCTGGCCTTCATTGGGCAACCAGAAAAATGTGTTTTGACTCTTTGAAATAACCTTGTCACTGTTTAGAGATGTTGACATTCATTTTGTGCTCATTCCCTACTTTCCTAAGTTCTGTTTCAGCAGTGGCAACACCTGATTCTTGTGAAATATTCTTAGACTAGAGTAGTGTAATTAATGAAAGCTGCAAGGGTTCAGTTCTATGATTTATGCCTGCTCCTTGCTGCTTCTCAAGCCACCCTAAATTAGGGCACTGCATCTGTCACTGAGATGCCATTAGAGTTTTGTGTCATTATTTGCTGGCTAAATTGTTCAGATATTTTTCACCTAAACATGATAGGCTGAAAAAAAAAAAAAGAAAAAAATCACTCTTTTCTGTGACCTCCTTGGGGTTTTAAGCTGTGGTTTGGGGAGCGAGGCAATTGCTCGAAATTAAAACAATCTCTCTTTTTGAAGGAGGGGAGTGATTTCAGAAGTCAAAGTTTATCATTTCAAATGACCCACGTAAATGACAGATATAAAATGTGGTGTCCTCTGAAATGAAACTCCATGATGGAGCACTCCACGTTTCTTTGGGGGTTGATTCAGTGATTCTATAACCCCTCTGTTCCAGTTTAATAATAAACCCATAAAGCTCTTGTTCATTTAAGCTTTGGAAACTTCCACTGCTGCAATTCAGCCTTTGCCATGGGTATTTCAGAATTTCACAATGCAATCTGCCAGGAAAGTGGAGATGTTGAGGTGGCAACTCTGGATTCATTCATTTTATTTTTTTCACTTGATCTCCATCACTGCTGTTGCTTTAATTTATTAGCAGTTATCCCTCCTACTGTTGTCTGCAAATGGAAAGAAAAGGGAATTTCCTTATTTAATATGTGTGAGGATTCGTGTAACACCACTGAAAACAAATCTGTACAGGGAGAGTAACTCAGATATGAAAACTCTGATAGGCAACCTAAGATCTTTATCATTTCTTGATAAAATAAGCCTTGAACCTGAGTAAAAGAGAATTTGGATTGCATTGCAAAATAAATAATAGCTTAATTTCTGTGGTTTCATCTTGGTTTCATTCCACAGAAAAAGGTATGTTGTCCTTAGAAAAAGACTATAATCTCTGTCTTCATATTTTCAGGCAGTGCATCTTAAATGACCTCCAAACTAATTAATTTTCCCCTTGAAAATGTCAATTTCCCCAAGATCATTAGCCCTCAGAAACATAACACAAAATAACATTCTTCCAGAAGTGAAAAGATTAATTTAATGTAGCAGCCCTTCTTTAACACAAAGCTCCTTTTCATCTTGTCACCAGTGTTGCTCGGGGATTACCAAACACATATTACAAGTTGAGAATTATCATTGTGTGTCCAGAAATCCAAGCATTAATGAGAAATTCATCCACATGAAGCCACACAGTTGCAGTTTTATTCTCCAGAGAGGCCAGGAAATAAAAGTTCACCAGTTTCATTATATTCCAGTGGCGATTGGCACGTAATTCCCAAAGGATTTTGGAAAATCTTAGGCAGAGGGTTCTATCCTTCAGGACCAGAGTAACCATTTGGAACAAGACTTGTGGGTTTAGCTCTCTTTTGCCACAGGCACAGTGGAAAAGGAATAATAAAATACTTTTTCCTGTATGTAGCCACTGGTGCTGTTAGCAGCAAACCCTTTTTGCTCACAACCAAGAAAATCTTAATAAAATCGGTGAAAATTTCTTGAACATCTCACCTATAAATTTTTTCCTAATAAACTTTACATGCAACAGGTTTGCTAATCTCTGTAGTCTAAAATAATCCAAATTTAACATGAATTACCTCCTTCACTGAAAAGCCCTGAAAATGAAGAATAACTTCTGCTGCATATTTATACATTTTTAATAGCCAGGCAGCAGGGGAAAATTAATGGAAGTTCAACTTTACATTTATTGCAGCAGATGTATTTAGACAGGTATGGTTATAAATTAAGATGCTGCCCACAATTAGTATTTAGCTCTCAGACTGACAGGGATTTTTTTTAATATATTTTATAACAGATGTGTTAACTTTTGGAGAATACTCTGGAAAATCTTTGGGGGTGGTTTCTATTGTTTTTCCCTTTATACCATAAGCTTCTATAAAAAATGTGTGTTCTGTTCTCCTCATAAATCTTGGAGCCCGGTAGGAATATTGTAAAATTGCAGTTCAGTGTTTAATGTTCATGCAAGTCCCCTGGTGTGGCTGATAAATAGTGGGGGAAGATGAGAAGTGCTGGTGATATGCCTTTATTACTAATGCTCCTTCTCCCTTATTGGAGATTAAAAACCCGACCCAACTGCTTTCAATTTTCTGCAGCTAATTCCTGCAGCTTTCAGGATGTTCCTGGCCCTCCAGAATGTGCAGCTTTGCCTTATCTGTGTATCTTTGCTTTTATTTTCCAGGAGGCCACACTGATTTTTCTACTCCAGCCACCAAACCCACCCCCTTTAGCAAAACTTTCTCCTCTGTAGGGCCCTTGGTGGCTGTGTCACACACACCAGGATGAAATGGCACAGAAAGAAAACTCATAATCCCCCAGCACTGGACACCTGTTCTGAATTTTAAAGGAAAAAAAGAGTATTTTGGGGTAGGAGATGATAAATGAAGAGCTGTTGGTAAATCCCCAGTGCCAGGTTAGGCTGGGCTCATCCTCATCCTAGGATGTCCATCCCAGCCCTGAGCTGCTCCATGTGCCAGGGCAGTGGCAGCTGCAGCATCAGACAGAGCTGAGCAATGAGTGGACAGAAAAAAGGATTTTTTTTCAGCCTTCTCATTTCCCTCTTTCTGCTTCTCTAAAGAGCCGATGGTTCAGAAAGAGGCTGCCACAAGCTGGGAATACTTGGGGGCACAGAGGTAAAGCTGGTTTAGGAATATGCACCACAAACCACCTGCCAGGAGCTCAAGGTTTAGGATTTTCTTCCCAGGAATTCAGGAGAAATCCTTCCTTAGGAAGCTGGTGTGTGAACACTTTGGATCATGTAGTTATCACATCATGCTCGAGCATTACGTGGAATTTAACAGATGTTGGGTTGAAGGCTCATGTTCATTCCTGTTCCTTTATGGATAATATTCCAAATTTTTCTGATGCCTTGATTTTAAAACATGTAATTAAAATGTACCTGTGGTATCCTGTTGCTTAATTTGCAGTTTGATTAGAAACTATAGCTGGGTTTCGCATACTTCATTTAGCAAAAAATTACTGATAGATGGATTAATTTATGCTAATGAGCTGTGCCTCAGTATCAGCAGTGTTTCAGTGGATGTGTTCTCTGGTCCCTGTGGTCTGCTCATTTAACTGCTTATTGTAATACACAGAGAGTTGCCTTGAAAAACTTACCCTGAACTGCTGCTTTGACTGTGCTTGGATTTATCTTAATCTGTTTTTTTCTCTTTTTTTCCCTTCAGCTGCCAACTCAGCCTTAATCTCCAGCAGCTTCTTGCTTTGCTTATTTACTAGTTGAAGTATTAATGAGCATTGTTGCCATCGGTGCTAATTGGCCGAGTAGTTTTCAGATTAGACTTTGTGCTCAAGCCTTAGTTTAGATGGCTTTGGACAAAACAGGCAAATCAGGCAACTGAAAACAATTCAGGAATTATTTTTATTAAGTGCAGCCCCCCCAGATTTCTCTCCTGCCATTGAGGACAGGGACACTCCCGTGTTTTAAGAGATCTCTCCAAGTCACACGGAGTTGTGAATTTGCTGAGCAGGCTGTTCACATCCAGGCAGTGATTGTCAACTGCTTTCCACAAAAGCTGTTCTGAAAAATCTTATTTAATGGCCACAGTCTGAATGCAGATGGGGTTACAGGAGGCATTCTGCAACAAACAAGGTTCCATAACCACAACTACTGGAATTCACCTTCTCCTAATCAAATATTAAACTCATCATCAACGCTTAAATGCCTAAATATCCATTTACAGGCAAATTGTTGAGTTGTTTCTAAACCAGTGCTTTGTGCGGGCCTTGTGGAATTTAAAAGGACACAGAAAATCACTGTCAGGAGAGAAGCAAGCACAAATCCCCCTGTTAATTTTTTTCTGGGAGACATATAAGAATCCATATCCAGCTAACAAGCTGTCTGTGCTTCCCTGCTGAGTTCAGTTCAATGGGGGAAGCATCAAACCCCAGATTATCCATACAAAGCAAGCCCGTCGCAAGTTGTAATTTTTTAAGCACGCATTAGTTAAAGCAGATCCATAATCCCCCATCAATATTAACTTTCATCCTGGGAGATGAACAAACCCCTTCCTAAACATCAGGATTACTCCAGTCTGCTGTTGATTTCATCTGACAGAACGTTAAAAACCAAAGGGAGGGAAAGTTTGGGGGTAGTTTTTTGCTTTGGAAACTCAGATTGCCTGATGCCAAATGTTTAGAATCACGTGTTGTATTTGTTATTTCTAACTGTTCATTTCCTAGGCTTTTTGTCCATGAATGCCATTAATCCCTGTGCCTTGAATGTGTGCATTCCGTAGGTAAAGGCAGCGGCAGGATTTCAGACGCAGTAAAGCCCACCCCAAAGTTTCAGCCCAGCGAGGCCCTTGAGCCTGGCACTGAGTACACAATCCGCCTAGTGACTAAGAACTGGGTGGATAACAATAGCATTTTTGAAGATGTAATTGAGACCAGGGGGAGAGGTGAGACCCGAAGCCCTTCGAGGTGCTGAACGTTTGTTTTTCCATGTGACTCGATGCCGAGGCTCCATCCTGTGCAGTGCGAGTGTCCCAAGCTCATCGTTCCTCGCAGTTGAATCCCATGGCAGCACAAACACATCCCAGGTTCTTGGCTGAGCCCTGTGCTTTACAACAGCCTGGAGCAATCCCAAACCTTTACAAACCTGTGCAACTTGAGAGGGCAGCTGTGATAAAACCCATAAGCGGCCAGCTTGGTGATTTGCTGTACTGGGGGCACTTTCACCTCTCTCTCTTTCGCAAAACTGCTTTGGCATGAGAGGCTTAACAGCTCTGTGCTCAGCTTTCCTGTGTGGTGCTAATCCTGTGAGTCAACTGCTCTCTCAGAGCCACCTTGCCAAGTGTCTGTGTTGTCCCTTGTCACCCCCACGCTCCCCTCCAGTCCCGAATGTCCCACTCTGGACACATTCCTGCCTCGCCCTGCACTTGAACACCATCAGTAGTGATAGACAGATTCCATTAAGATCAGAGAGGAATGTGATGTGTTTGTGTTATTGGGGGGGTGCTGCCCTTTCCCTCTGATTAATTTTCTCCCTTTTTCCCCCTCTCCCATCTCCCCAAGCCTACGCTGGCATTTACGAGGGGATTTCCACCCAGGGCTGGTTCATTGGGCTGATGTGCGCCATCGCCTTGCTCACCCTGCTGCTGCTAACGATCTGCTTTGTCAGAAGAAATAAAGGAGGCAAATATTCAGGTAAATGGATTTATTGTCCTTTCCCCACGTTCATGTGTTAATAACTAACATCCTTCAGAGGTTTCTCTCTGGGGGCCGCAAGGCCGCGAGCACAAACATCCAATTAGGAATTGTAGCTTTAGATGAATATCCACGGAAGGGATTTTAATGAATGTAAGTGGAGCTGTGCTGTGTGCTGGTCACAGAGCCTGCAAAGGCCTTTCCCAGCACTCCTGGAATATTCCAGCATTTAATCCAGCAAGATCCTTGCTGGCAGGACTCCCTGCCCACTTTCCACCTGGGAACTGCTGCTGGACACGTGGACAGAATTTCCACGGGCAGATTTACAGTGGAATATTTGGTTAAAAATTACCTCTGTCATTTCCCAAGCAGTGAGTAGGGATTTAGGAAAATTATTGAAGTAGAAATCTGGTTGCCCAAAGAGGTGGTGGATGCTCCATCTCTGAAAACATTCAGTGCCAGGCAGGACAGGGCTTGGAACAACCTGGGACAGTGGGAAGTGTCCCTGCCATGGCAGGGGTGGCACTGGATGAGCTTTAAGGTCCCTCCCAACCCAAATCTTTCCATGATTCTATAAATACCTGCTTATAATCAGTTAGGGAATGGTCTCAAACGATTGGAAGCTCCCAGGCTGAGTCCAGCCAGCTCCAGGCCAGGCTGGAGGTGATTGCAGATGGTTTTCCCATTGCCCCTGGGAAAAGAAAAATCCATGGCAGAACACAACACAGAGACCTGTCCTTTATTTTATTTGCACAGTGAAAGAGAAAGAAGATTTGCATCCAGATCCCGAAGCTCAATCAATAAAAGATGAAATCTTTGGGGAATATAGGTAAATAGGACCTGCTTTCACGAGCCTTTGTGTTTCTTGGGGTTTTGTTTGTTTCCAAATGCCATCATTATTCGGGACATTTTTATGGCATGCAATTAATGCTGTTTTTCATTTTCAAAGCAAACCTCATAGGAGTGGATAAGAGTAGGAATCTAAAGGTATATCCAGTATATTTCAATCCATCCAAGCTGGGATATAAGGAAACGTTGATGTATCGGTGGTTATTTTTCACTTTTTTTGTTTCTTTAATTAGCATTGTATGAATAATGTAAATATATATGATAATTTGGGGTACTGCTGAAAAGCCCACTGAAATCAGTGGATTGAATTCTATGCCTTCAGTGGGTTTTTGAAACTCAGACCCAAATCATGTAATATGGGGAATGGTCATTTTGGGGAAGAAAAGTTTGGAATATGGTAAAGAATATTAAAAAACCAAAAATCTCTCTACAGAAATCCCTGTGGGAGAATTGAAATAACCACTTTGGCCGCTTTAAAATAACTAAAACTTCTAGCAATATGTAATTGTGATATGAAAGAAAATTCATATAATTATAAGAACCATGCTGGAAAACTGGTGTTGCTGCCCTTAAGGGCATAAAATTGCTGTTGAAATACCACTTATATATACTACATTATTTGTACTGGAGTAGGGCTTTTTCTTTTTTTTTTTTTCTGCATAATTTCATCTTTATTTAATTTTTAATGCTTTCTAATGGGACAAATATTTAGAAAGGTAAGAAAGCCCTGAGGTTAATAACTTTGACCCCCCTCCTTTCCCCCCCGAAATCCAAACTTGTTTTTTTTTTTTTTTTTTCCTGAGGAGAAATGCCCTGTGCAGAAAAATAGCGATTTTTTCTGTGTTGTTTATGCAGACATTGAATCCATCCTGAAGAAATGAAGCTCAGGTTCATTTCTCTGTCCTTCCTTAGATAAAATTGCCAAAGATCTGACAGCGAGTTGGCATTAGCAGCAAGGGCTGTACTTGAGTAATTATGTCCCTAATCCAGAGGCCAAATTTAGGGTTTTGGTCTTTTTTTAACCTTTTAATGTTTTCCCAATCCCCCCAAATGTCCTGTTCAGGCTGTTCTTGTTCCTCTTCTGTGGTGCCATTTGGAGGAATGGCCATGAAATTCCCCTTTTTTCCCAGAATTTTGGTGGTGGGCCTGTCCTTTTTCTTGGAATTTTTGCTGAACAGAGACTGCAGATGCAGATGTTGGTTCTGCTTTGGTTTTTCCCAGTTCTTCCCCTTTTTCCTGGAATTTTCACTGAACAGAGACTGTAAATACAGACATTGATCCTGCTTTGGTTTTTCCCAGTTCCTCCACTTTAGCAGAGGCTAACTGCAGTGAGATAAACTTTGGTAAAATAAAACAAAATAACAGCAGGAAAAAAGGGGGAAAGCACCTTTATTGGTCATTTAAACTCAAAGAGATGCTCCCAAAGCAGTGAGATGTGACCCACTGATGTGATATCACTTCACCCACCCACCCCAAAAAGAAATTGAAATAAATAGTCCCTGAATGTTGTCCAGTGTTTTGCAAAATGAAAAGTGTCTCTCTGTGAGGTTCCAAATACTTGACATCAGCCCTGGTGGCTGGAACCCACCAATCCTTTCCAGCAATCCCTTCTCCTTCCCCTTCTGTCCATTCTGCCTGCCCAAGGCAAAAAGGGAAAAAAACCAAACAGATGGGTATTGATAATGCCCATTAACCAATTAATTTGTGTGAATAATGACAAATTCCTGTGTGGGGGGAGCTCAGGTGTGTGGGCATCACCCATGTGAGGAGCACTCAGAGGTCAGCTCATCCCACGTGCCCCTCACTCTTCCCTTCCCAAGCCAGGAGCAGTTTCCCTCCTTGCCAGTGAAAGGCGGATTTTTGGAAAGGCATCTCTTTATTTTGTAGTGACAGCGATGAAAAGCCGCTGAAAGGCAGCCTCCAGTCACTTAACGGGGACATTAAAGCCACTGGAAGTGCTGATAGTCTGGTAGATTATGGAGAAGGGGAGCATGGCATGTTCAATGAAGATGGTTCATTTATTGGAGCTTATTCTGGATCTAAGGAAAAAGGATCCGTGGAAAGCACTGGGAGTTCTACGGCAACTTTTCCTCTCCACGCCTAAAACGATTGGTGTTTAATTGTGATATTTATCCCGGCTAGCTCTCCACAGCTCCCGTGTGTGCTCGGGAGCAGGGGGCCAGTTGAGCCAGTCAGGAAAATCCTGGCGTCCAGGTAATACAAAAACGAGTCACTGCCACTAAAAGATGATTTTTCCATCCTAATTTCTATATGTTTCCTTCTCAATAAATCAGAATAATTCTTTATTCTACCTGATGTGTTAGTCTGAGCAAACCAGAGTTTCTCGGTGGTACATCTGTATCCTTACCCGCTGCTCCAGGTGTTTCTTAGGCTTGGAATATGTTTCTCTGTGTAGTATTTTTGCCCTGTTCTCACAGGTGTATGTGTAAAATTCCCTCATGGCCTCTGTTATAATCTCAAGGTTATGGCACCAGCTAAAACAGCTCACTCTGCAAAGTGACACAAAGAGGAAAATCAGAATTTAAAATACCAGAGAAATATATTCTATATATGGTATAATTTTTCCTAAAGAATTAAACCCTTTTATGTATGATATTAAAAAAAAAACTGTTTTAGTGGTTACAGCTGACTTCAGCTACCAACACTTAGAAATGCAGCTTTACCCACAGGAGAGTGTGGGTGAAGCTGCTGCCCAGTAGCTGGCACTATTTCCTTAAATAAGCTGCAGCTCTTTCCTGTGGCAAGGCAAAACAGGGTTCCCATCCACCATCAGTCGAAATATTTTTAATTTTTCCCAGCTGCAAGCTGCATTTCTAAGCAAACTCCTTGGTGTCTGTCTCATATCTGTATATTTGTGAGCTAGCCAACATTTCATGGAGACGTTGTACATATGATATTAATATTGATACAAGTCCAGAGCAGCCTGGTTTTATTTTGATCTGAGACATGTTGCTAGCATGGGTCTGTATAGCTGTGTAGGAATGAGTAGAATTGCTTCTCAATATGGATTTGGACCAGCAAAATTAGTTTTCAGAAGGAGTTGTGTGTATAGGAACCATCCAAACCTCACACCATTTAAACATCACCTAAACTAGACCTACCTGACTTTCAAGAGTTCATTTCTTTTCAGCCTATTCACTGTTAAATAAACAAGAACAAAAAGCAAAGAGAAAATATTATGGTAGAGTTTGTTTTCCTATTTTGTTGACTGAATGCTGGTTTAAATCTGGTTCTTTGCCTCCCCAGCACTAACTCAGCCGAGCTGTACAGCACATTTTTTTGGTCTTTTTGTATTGGAATCTCCTGAATCTCTTTTTAATGGCATTTGCATTCTTGAATCTGCTTGTTTGAGTAGAGCATCAACGTGGCTTCATTTCTTCTGTCACTCCCATTAGGAAAGTTTTTAAGTAGTTCCTGCAGGAGAAATAGATCCTAAAAGCTGTTTGGCATCCTGCTAGCAATTAGGCAAATATCCCCAAATGGCTCCTCCATGATTTCAATGGAAGAAAGAGGGGAAGCAAGAATTACTCAGCTGGTTCTGAGTTTCCAGCAAGGGCCACGATTAAGCCCAAGGAAATGCAGATTTTTTTTTTCCCAGTGGAAAGGCAATGGATCCCCCACAGCTCCCCCCAGGCTGGGGCTGCTCCTCAGAGCTTGGCAGCTTCGGGAAGCCTTTGGTGCTCAAGCTTCTGCTTTCCTGTGCCTCTTTTTGGGTTTTTGATTGGAGCTTTTAAGGACTTTTTATGTAACCTCTGTTTGGGAAAAGCAAACTCCAAAAGCCCCGTTCAGGCTATGCCTGTGAGTGTAAAATGGTGAGTGGAAATCTGCCCTCAATCAAGAATTATCCCATCCCATATCAGTGACCCACATTATTCACTTCTTATTATTTATAAAGTTCTATTTTCTCTATTTCACTCAATCCAAACACCAAAAAGTCCAAAAGCCTTTTCATTTTGGGGGGGGAAAGTAATTTTCCGAAGAAGGGAGTGTACAATTAGAGAAATGTGAAAATTGGCATCTCAGCAACAGAGACATTTCCCAGCAGCATCTTTAACTGCTGACTCGTGTCTGCTGCAGCCCAAACCAGATAAAATCTAAGAACTGATTAGCCTTGTGACAACCTGCTGCTTGCTTTGGGCTGGTTTTAAAGCATTTCCTTAGGGAATCATCTGCAGTGATCGAAGGTCTTTGAAAATTAGGGAATAAAATTGGGGTGGGCTCCCCCAACTCCTCACTTTGGGCTGGGGGGAGGCTGTGCCTGCACACATCACATTTTCCTCTGGGTCACTGCAGATAAACCAGACCCCTCACCCCAGAAAATGCCTCTGTTTTAGAGAAATGTTCCATTTGTCTGTGAAGTTTCAGCCATATTAATGGGTGCCAAATGATGCAGTCGTGGATTTCAATCCCCGTGCAGCTCTGGCTCTGCTGCTGCTGCTAAGAGGTGTTTGTGATGTGCTGCTCAGCCGGGCTGGTGGCACTGCTTTGTCCACTCAGATTTCAATTCACAGCCTTAAATCTTCATCTTGGTGTTTCCATGATGCCTCAGGACCTAAAAATCAAACAGGGAGGGAAAGATGTGCAATGGAACCTGGGTTTTTGAACTCGGGTTTTGCGGAATACGCCCAATGAATATTAAACAAGTGGCTCAAACTCCCAGGAAATCTCACTCACCTGAGCTGTTTTCTCTGCCCCAATCATTTATTTTCCTTTTTTTTCCCCTGCATTGGGGTTTTATTTCCTGCTGTAAAGGTACTTGGAAAGTGCAGGGCATTGATGGTTTTTTGGAGATTGGCTTTCAAAAGTAAATTAACAGAGCAAGCTGAGATTTGTTGAGGAGTTTTTTGTCATTGCAAGGAGCTGGGCTGTGTTTTTGTCTTGGTGTGAGACAGGTGAGAGGAAGTGTGAGCATGTAGCTCAATAAAAGTATCACCAACTGCACTGCAGTTTATGGAACTTCCTGAGTTGGAAAGGATCCACAAAGTCATCAAAGCCCATCCAAAAATCACTCCCTATTCTGAAACAGTGCATTGAGTATTAAATCTCTGAGTTGCTTTGTTTGGGACTTTTTTTGATTTTTTTTGTTTTCTTTCCCTCCGGCCAGGGGAGTTTATTAAAGTTAGCTGTCAGAAATAAATTTCTTTCAAATTAAATTTAAAATTATTCAAATTTAAATTTCTTCAAATTAATCAACACCTAGCAGGGAATTCCAGCCTGCCTGCTTGGAGGAGGGAGTCCAGCCATGGGAGCAGAACAGGGAATTATTATTTATCCAATGCCATGGCTGTGGTTGGGTTCCATTTGCTTGTGACACATTTTGCCTCAGTACAAGTGTGAAATGGCACTCTCAGATTTGATATCCAAGTTGAGCCAGGATGTAATTTCAACCCTCAAGGCATTTCCCTGGCCCCAGGGATCCAGGTTTGGGGATTTAAGCAGCTTCTGGAAGAAGAGAGGGATGGGTCTTGCTGAAAAAGTTGTGCAGTTTGGACTGTGCATAAGATTACAAGATTATAAGATAAACAAATAAAATCAGCTCTTCCTAAATAATGGGAAAAAAACTCCTCTGTCCATTCTCCCAGGGGGGGCTGTTTGGATTCCCAGAGCAGCATAATATTGATTTGGTGTGGATTAATTTTTCTCTAATTTTTATATATGTATACATATATATAATGTGTATATATGTATATATATAAAATATATAAAAATGTAATTACATTATCAAGAACTTGCAGGACCAGCCCCAGCTTCCCTCCCTGGCAAAATTAAGGGATCCAATCTCCAGAAACCCTCGTGGCTCTGCACTCCAGCAGGATAAAAGAGCAGCACTGGGCATCAATGCCCTGCTGGGGCTGGATCTTTAGGAGGAGCAGAATTCAAAATCAAATCAGAAAATTACTTTCCCCCTCTGGATAAAATCATGTGTCCATGCATAAAAAAATTTAAAAACCTTCATTGTAACTCACATCTTAAATGGATCTAATTAGCAAATCATTTAATGATTGGGTATTTGTTCTGCTGTGTTACAAATTCCAGTGAGTAACTCTTTTCCTTGTAACTGCTTCCATTGACTGAATGGCTCCAGTCCAGTGCACGAGAGGTTTTCATCAAAGTTTTCAGGCCAATATTATTTATGACACGAAAACAAATAGTAGTGCAGTTTTCTGTATTTAAAAAAAAAAAAAAGAAAAAAAAAAAAGTGGGGTTTTTAAACAGTGGTTTCACATTTTGTAAAGAAAAGTTAGAATAATGTTCACTGCTCCCTGAGCTTTTGAGAGGAAACCTCAGCATCATTTTTCACAGCCATTCTTTTGCAGATGAGAAGTGTATTTGGGTTATTTTGCTTACCTGTAAGAACAATAGAAAGGAAATTCTTCACGGAGAATTCCCTTTGTTTGCCAATGGATCACACCCTCAGCTGCATCTCTGTCAGTGTTTATGACAAAAAAATCAAGGTACAAAGCACTCTGGAGTAGCAGGACGTGTTTACATTGCAGCTCTGGATCTCTCATGTCAAATCTCAAGTGATCTGCACTGATTTGTTCTGTTTTCAGGCAGGAGCCCCTCGGGGGGTTTGAGCCAAAGCATTCTGTCTGTTCATTTTTTATTATTATGGTTCTGACTTTAAACAAGAGACTTTGTAATTTCATGAGAAAAAGATCAAAGGAAATGTGGTGTCACCATCACAATGTTACTTTTTTGGGAGCTAAATGTTAGTGTGCATTGATTAAAGTTTAGAGGAACGTGTTGTACTGTAGTTGCTGTTTGTACCACGCAGATGTGCACGTACCGTTTGAAAAGATATTTTCATTTTACATGAAATACAACTTTGCTAATAAAAGTTTGACTTGATGTAATCTTCAAAAGCCTTGGCTGCAATCAGCAAGTTTCTTTTGTTTGGTTTGGGGGTTTTGTTTGATTCTTTTTTTCGCTTGACACTGTTTATTTGCTGGGAATCTGATTTAATTGCGAGCCTCAGCCCTCTCTGGGCTGTGACTTGTGGGGTTTTTTTTTTGGTTTCACACCAAGGTTGAGCTGCCCTTGGCTTTCACTGAGATTTTTGGACACCATGGATCATCAGCCCTCTGGATATGACACCAAAGCAGGATGAAGCTGACCTGCAAAGAGCCTGAATTCAAATTCCTCATTGATTCCGTGTGATCCTCTCCTGGACCAAACTGTCACCCTATAAATTGTTAACAACTCTCACAGGCTTTACTCACCCTGTTACCAGCACAAAACCTCCCAACACACAGAGTTTCTACTCCTCTTCGTTAAAGATCACCAGAATATTGGTAATTTTATTAATATCCAGGTAATTTTATAAACATCCAGGTAATTTTATAAATATCCATGTGCACACAAACCCAGTAAGACCATTTCTTGGTGGTTTTTTTTAGGGGAAAAACTACACTTGTGCTTAAAGTCTGCAAAAAAATGCAAAAAAAAAAATCTATAAGGATTCATTTTATAGGAATTTAGCAAATGGGCTTTGTCTGCCAAGGAAAATATCTCGGTTCTTTTGTTACTCCCTCTCTCCATCACCAATACTCTGTCCCAGGATTAATTCTACTCTGTCCCTGGGGAAGGCTCTGCAGTGAACACCAATTCACCCTCCTGATTTCTGGAACAGCCAACCTGAGGACTCATTATAAGACAGCAGACAAATCCACAGCAGCTGTTATTGCTGAAAAATCCATTTTTTTAATGTGTTTAACGGGGATCTGAAAGAGCTGCTTGGTGCTCAAGCGTGTTGAGCACCACCCTTGATGCTGGTGTGGCTTCTGTGCTGTTCTGAGTGTATCTCACTGCATTTCAGTGAAAGGAATTCTTTTTTTTTTTGCCACATGTTTTTAGCTGCTTGACTCCAGCAGGAAAGCTTCTGGACTTTTTTTAATGCATTCTTCACCTGCAAGAAGTGAATACCCTCAGAGGGAATGTGCTACCATCCTGTGCTAACAGGAATTCACCTTTCAGGGAGCCATCAAGGGCATCCCAAGAAGGTTTTTATTATCATTCATATCCTGGAATAATGAGATTTACACTTTTCTCAATAACATAATGGAGGGGAGAAAGTCCTACAATCATGTGCTTCACTGGAGTGAGAATAAAGGTGCTGCTGCCACCAGCAGGTGTGTGGGAGCTGATCTCACACAAGTTTAAGGATGAAATATGAGATTTATTTTCCTCTATGAGGCAATTTATATGAAGCATGCATTAAAATATTCCTGGACTGTTGAAAATGAGAGTGAATAACAACTTCCAGTGGTGCAGGAGCTCTGGTTAATTATGTATAATTTTGAAAATATTTGATCTTTTGATTTGGGGACAGGGTTATCATGATTAGACCTGTTTTGGGGGCAGAGCATTACTTCTAATGCTCAAACATTTCCCTCTGTTCTTCAGTCTCACAAGGAAATGTCATCACTTTTCCACTTCAGCATCTGTTAATCAGCTGGGGACGCAGAGGAGTCCCTCAGTCACCCCCAGGGAAACACCAGCAGCCTCACCCTGCTGAAATGTCTGAGCTCTGCAGATTTCTCAGCCTCATTTAACAAGACTTGGGTGTTGTTTTTATCCCTCCCAGCCCGGGGTTTGCAGCATGTTCTTCCCCATTTGTTTGGAACATTGGGGCAGGAATATCTCAAACCAGAAAATCAGTACCCCAGGTTTGGGTGGGTTTGGTTTTTATTTTTGCTTTTACCACCTGATTTTGTTTGGGAGTCCCAAAACTTGTTTGCAGTAGTTTTATTGACTTAAAACTCTAAAAATTGATGGTTTTGGTGTCTGTGCTTCACCTGGGATGGGGATGAGGAGGGCTGTGAGGAGGAGTGGGAGGGTGGGAAACAAGGGGCAGCTGTGGCTGGCACAGGACCAGAACTGGGTCATTCCCAATTGTTCCTCCTGCAGAAAATGACAGGAGGTGTCTCTATGCTAGTTATCCTGGTGGAAAATCGGATTTTCCTTCCAGTGGAATTACCTTGGTGGCTGAGAAGTGAATTTCCCTCAGCTCTGCACTGGTGTTGCAGCTCCTGGTGTGGGAGCAGGAGCAGAGGCTTCCCACACCTCTCCTGGGCTGGGCGTGGAGCTGGAGCTGCCGGGAGCCCCATGGAAAAGTGGATCAGGTGAGAATAACCAGCAGTGGGAAGAAGGGTTTGCTTTACCTGGAAGAGAACATCAGAAGACCTTGCTGAGGAGATCTGGGGGGCTGTGGTCCCTCCTAAGGGGGTTTGCTGTACCAGGGCTGGTTTTTCCCCCTTTTCCCTTGGCTGGATGATGTGGCTGCTCTGTTGTCTTTCTTCTGGAATAAGTTTCCTTCTCCATAAGGCAGCCAGGCTGCCTCTCCTGCACTAGCTTTGTTGTTTTGTCCCCCTCCTGACCCGATCAGGATTTATCTGTGTTGATCCCTCACCTCCTCCATCCAGGGCTTGGAAAAGTTCCAGCCTGTTTTGTATCTGTGCTGAGGCTTCTCCTTCTCCGTGCATATTTCTCCTCAGCTCCTTGGGGAAGTCGTATTTCACTGACAGTGTGTTCTTCCCTCCTCACCAAGTATCAATAAATGCAAAACCAGCACAGGCAGCTGCACCTGGGATTTTGAATTCAGCATGGATCGAGGTGTCCGAGCTTTCTGGTACTTTAAAAGAACATTATTTTTATTTATTTTATTTTGAGGGGAACACAACAATTTGTCCAAAGAGTTCCCATTTGCTCCTGTGGGTGATGGAAGGATCTGGGCAGGAGTTCAGGCCCTCCCCAGCGTGTTCCTGGTGTGGGGATCTGCCCAAGCCTGGTCCTGGGGTGGGATTTCAGCTGGGAATTGCTTCTGCTGCTCCCTCCTGTGCATCTCTGCAGGTGGCTGGACACATCAGGCTGCTGCTATTTTGAAATGAGTTCTTTTTATGATTATTTATTAAATAATGAAAAGCATAAATGCAGTTTCTAATAAAAATCACCTCGCTATGTGTAAGCCTTTATGACTTCAGGCAGTCACCGTTCCGAACATTTATTTTCCCCTAAGTGGCAATTTATATGAAACATGCATTAAAAAAAAAATATTCTTGGACTATTTAAAATGAGAGTGGAGTAACAACTTGCAGTGGTGCAGGAGCTCTGGTTAATTATTTATAATTTTGAAAAGTACATTTTCCAAGCTCGGCATGGAGCCCAGAGGCCACTAAGTAAATAAATTTACATAAAATGCAGTGAAATCAGATCATTTGACACAGTAATTCACCTAATTTAAAGAAAAAAAAAATTAAAAAAGGTCTTGAGGAAAAATGGTTCCTGCAGAGAGGAGTGTCAGCAGAGGGATGTGGAAGTGGCAGTGACAAGAAGAGTGGGAATAGCTCTGGAATTCCTCCTTGAGAGGTGAGGGAACACCATGGGAGCTGTAAAACCACTCGTTTTCATTGTTGCCTCATCAGGATGAGGATGAGTTGAGGAGGAAACTGTCTCCTGGAAATATTTTCTTTGTTTCATTCCCCACAGCCATCATTTGTTGAGAACATAAAATTCATTGATTGGTTT